ACTCATCCTTTGATCTATGTTGCTCTTTATGTGGATGATCTCCTCATTCTCTCTACGTCTCAGGCACGTATTACTCATACCAAATCTCTTCTTTCTCATCATTTTATTATGAAAGATCTTGGCACTGCAAGCCACTTTCTTGGACTAGATATACATCAGTCTCTTCCTTCTATTGCTCTCTCTGCGTCCACTTATATTCATCAGATGCTCGATGATTACAATCTTTCTGCTTGTAATCCTGTTTCCACTCCTTGTGATACTCAATCTTGGGTGCTTTCCGATGATCCTCCTTTATCCAACCCTACTGAATTCCGCAGCATGGTAGGGAAGTTGCTATTTGCTGCTAACACAGTAAGGATTGATATTGCATTTGTTGTCTCAAAATTAAGTCGTTTCTTACAAAATCCACGCAAATCACATTTAGCTAAAGCCAGACATGTGATGCGATATTTAAAGGGCACTGCCGATTTGGGAATTGTTTACTCCAAAGACTCCCATTTCAAATTATCCGGATTCTGCGACTCTGACTGGGGAACTGATCCGAATGATCGGATCTCAGTTACAGGGTATGTCTTTATCTTAGCAGGTGCTCCCATTACTTGGAGATCTAAGAAACAAACAACAGTGGCATTATCGTCAACAGAAGCGGAATATATGGCTTTAGGCGATGCTCTCAGAGAGCTCTTATGGTTAAAACAATTACTTGATCAACTTGAAATCAAATCCTCTGAACCTCCGACACTCTATTGTGACAATACCGGAGCATTATCTTTGATGAAGCATCCAGCATTTCATCCAAGAACAAAACACATTGATATAAGACATCACTTCATCAGACAACATCTAACCTCCAATGATTTTATCTCAAAACATGTATCATCAGGCATGAATCTAGCTGATCCACTTACTAAAGCATTAGATAAGCCAAAATTTGAATCTTTGAGACTAAAATGGAAATTTGAAAAACTTTGACATAGTATACGACTATGGTAGGGTGTTGAGATATTAGTCTATAATATGTCACGTGACTATGCAGAGATATGCATCTCCTGCATAAATATTATGTGAAACAAATCCTAATCAGTTAGGATTAGAGATAAGTTTCAGAAAGCACACTAAAGATTTAGAGTGGTATTAGAATCTACTATAAATACAGTTAGATTCTCCCTCATCTTAAGTGAACATTCAATTGGTAAGATTTACATATAAATCTTATAAATATAAGCTTATACAACTACTGATATAAGGTAGTAAAAGGTATATTAAATTATCCAAAAGATGACAACTTCAGATCAGTTAAAGTTAGCATTCCAACAACTGTACTCGCTATCAGTCCAAACTCCTTAGTAAAAATGAGAACCTTAAATCAAACCTGGTATATCTTCAAAACCATTAGATGACGTGAACGCTGCGCACCTATTGATTCCCCAATTCTTTTTATATCCATTGAAAAAGAAAGCACAGAATGTTGCGACCCCACTTGTTTCACCCTACAAATAGATGCGCAACTTCGGACTATCAGAGTCCGAAATCTTATCTTTGGCGCTTGCACAACCATCTGAACTTGTTAGGTGTAGTGACGTGAGAGCCCTGCTACTTTATCCAATTTGTTATGATAAAACGTATATATGTGATCTTTGACCGACGTATCTTTCAATTTAGGATGAAACACATACTGTGATATCACAACTAGCTGACTGATATTCGATAGAGAATTAAGAGTAAATAACCTCAAAGGTAACTTTCCCGATACGTGAACACTCCGCTTCAACTGTTGTGCAAATTTAGTGTCATCTATGTCAAGGATACAAAGGAGTAAAATCAGTCTTTGAGTCTAGTCTTTCGGTATATAGAAGATCCTAGGTGTAATACCGATTAATATACTTATTGTCAACCGTAGGAGTTAACACCACATCAGACAGATACCAGTTTTGTGGATACTGAGATGTGTGAAAAAAACATCTGCACTTTCACTGTCGATTTGAATTTACATCATTGCATCTTTCATATTGGTAAAAAAAAGGAAATACACTAAATACTCTATCTAGTCTTGTTGGATTCTTACAAGGATATGGCACTTGGAAATATTATGCATCCTGTTTTTGGTCTTTAAGGTGCAATTAACTCAGAGTTGAGTATGTAAAAAAGGATTTACGCTTGAAACAAAGCTCAGGATAAATCTTAACGGGCTGACAGTCTTCAATGGGCACACAAGGGAAGTCACCTATGTAGTCTCTAACACCAGCTCAGAAGATCATAGGCAGACTCTAAAAATAATGATTGCTGAAAAGTCAACCCGCCATCGCGGTTCCCAATATCAGAAAAATCAGCTACAACAAGCCAATCCGTTATTTGGCTAATGAGCGATATTTTCGATTGAAGTACTCATATTGAGACGAAAGTCAGTAGCAAGTTTCCGCACTTGGCATTCGTAGATGTTTCCCCAATGTAAGCCAGCTGGAATACTTGTTGATAAAAAAACTACATACAAATGAGTGTGAGGTGTCATGAATTTTATTGCAGACGGGTTTTCATTCTGGAGTGCCGGCCGTAACAAGGAATTAACTACTATCCTAAAAAAAAACTAGTGTATTATGTGATAGCAAAGAAGGAAAATGAATTCTCAAACAAGAATCTACCGGATTGCACGGTGCATCAAGTGCAACGGCGTTTCCTTTCTTGAACTGCCAACAAAGGCAATTCATGCTGGAGCGTCCATGTTTGGCTAATGGAGTAGTATACTCGGCTTGATGACTGTTCAAAACATAGCTATAATAAGTCATGTCTACAGTCATTATTTATCCTTCAAAATTGTGACTAGGTATCGAATAGTTAATCGTTGATCTAACTAAATTACTTATAAGCTGAATATGAGAAACCCTTCCTTGTCATTTTGTTAGTCGTATATGATCCAGATTAGTATCGTCAGGATCTGGTGCACATAATATGCATGTACTAAAACCCCACAAACCTTCATATCAGGATAAGCCGCACAGCCATGATCAATCTCTGACTATCTCATATCAGCAACTACTTGTTCTCATCTCATATGAGGCAACATCAAAGTAATGGTATCCCTACGTAGTTTTTTCTCCAACCATGAAGGCCAGACCCTAATTGGGGACTGAACGCATTATTAGAATAACCATCTCAGTCTTGTATCTCATAAGTTTTTGAATTTCATTTTCAATAAGCATGGGGTAAGTGTAGCTTTGGGAAGGATTGTCGATCAACAATAGGTCTTACAATGCTTGGCAGGAGTTTGCTCAATAATCAAGTGACCTTTTTGAATGTGGTCCTTAATCCGACGTTGATATGTTGAATGCTTATTTAACTTTAAAGTACGGGTATTATCCACTAATGAAATTAAAGCTCGATTACATACTGCCAAGACATCAGGATAGTGTTTACATGGATGAACTCCTGATGCCATTTCGTCCGACTCTTCAATAGCTCAGAGTTACGAATTGCAACAAGTGTTGTTTTTTCGGATTCGAACCAATTAAACTAATATGTGTGGCTGTAGATCTTTTTTTTCACGAGCGTTAATAGCTTCCTTTCTAGCATTGTATCACTCTTCAATGTCGAGATTGAGCAATCTGAATAATTGATAACTACATAGTGACTTAACAGGGGCTCCACACGTTGCATGCCTATCTTGATTTTATCAAATGAGTTTTTTGAGTATCCTTTTCCTTGAGCACTATTATCTTTACTATTTATTGTCTTTAGCTAGTTAGCAAATACATCATTGCCTTATCTGCACACTATATGCTTCAGTGTTTTCACACGGCTCAGTCAAGTTGTGTTCTGATTATCACAATTGATTGAATGAACTATATCAAGGGATTATGACTCAATCAAATTTAAAATTTGTGAAATTTAAATAGCGCAATTTTTTTTATTGCTCACATAGATCTACACCCTGCTGCCATTAAAGTCTTGAGCTGCATCCACTCAGGCTTAGTCTAAGAAAGTACTGCTATTAGTTAGACTAAATAACTTCTGCCCTCTCTTTCGCCCTAAACCTTTACTAAGGAGGTATACCCAGTCCGCCAATGACCAGCCTAGATATAGTGTGAATATTTTCCGTCAGATGCTTAATAGCTGAATATTTGAAGCATATATTATTTTGATGTAACGTTGCGCAAATAGTCATAATAGAAAAGACTAGTTCGCATACCTTCTAGTTTTCGTATTTTAATGAAGCTCAAAAAACACTCACTATCTATTATCAACTACGGTTATAAATATTGAGACTTTGAGAGGACTATTAGTGCAATATTTTTTTTGATAGCTAAATTAACACTGATAATGTGCATTTGTTTAGTGAAGTCCCTAAGTACCGGAACATCTAACGACTGCTCCTTGAAAAGGTAGACCTCACAATTACGGTATACCAAGCAGTAAGTTTTGGCGCCTTTTGGCCGAGGGAGTGGTAGGTAATCCGAGATTTGAGGATAACTAGAGCCTCGAAGAGTTTCATGGAAGTATATAAGTTTTCATGTTTAATTAGGCAAGCATTCTACCCCCATCTAAAAACATGCTGCTAAAGCTTAGGATGGGTATTGAGATAATGCTACCATGAATCTCTTTTGAGCAGATACCATTATAAGTGCTACAAAATAGAGATAGCCCCGTTATCGAATTTTATACATTGAAACTCCCCAACATCAGATCTACCCCATCAAGCAGACCCATGGGTCACTTATTCGGTTAGTCAAAGATGATCACACAAACAAGCAATCCCTCCTCTTTTGTGAAACGAATTTGAGACAAGCTTGTGTACTGGTGACAATATTCTGTCACGACAGGTATCGTATAGGCGGAATGATGAATAAAGAACCATTTGCATCTCGACAACAAGGTTTATGGTGATCAGAAGTTTGAAAGATTGTTCTAATTTTCTGCAACCGTGTAGATTACGTAAACTAGAGCCTCGTTTTTTTAAAACATAGAAGCTGATCAGAAGTTGAAAAATCGAAAAACAAAGTCCAGGCGTGATCGTAATCAGATAGCATTTCTACATAGTCTATGCAATATGTCAATCCAACGTTAATATGTGATAGGTATTGAAATAAGATATACGAGATACTAATAAGCTGATTGAGATTAAACATGGCGCACATTAGAGTTGAGCAATTTCTTCTGTCGCGATCATAGTTTATTACCGCTTCCAATATCTGCATTTCAGTTCTTTCTGCGACTCCTTGAGGCTTGGAGTTCTAAAACTTGAATCTCAGTTGTTTTGCTGGAGCTTCCAGAATCAAAATGCGAACCTTGGCGTTCTTGCTGTAGGGTTGACAGAGTGTTCAAACGCGACTCAGAGGCCATTCCCGCCAGTCTAATGGATTTTAATTGTTTTTTGGATGTTATATGTTGACTCATTTTGGGAAATGGTTGTTCGTTTTTAACGCAAGACCCAAAAGAGCCATCCTGTGAGAGTAACCCGTTGCTCCCTAATGCAGTACTCTCAATAGTGCTCTTCAATTCAGTGTCAACCATCTCTGCTTGGTGAGAAAACTGTCCCTTTGTCCTCCTCTCCATAGGATTTGAAGCAAAGATGCAGAAAGAATCATTTTGAAGAGCAGGTAAGTCTCCTGTATCGGTCACCTTCCAGATATATGCAAAAGAAACCACAGGGATTCCCCAAGTTTTGGCGGCTAATACCTTATTCATGGTCTTAGATAATGGGGCCTCGAGCTCCATCGGACAGGGAACTGATAGTAAACTTTTATAGTCATTGTCAAAAATAGTTGGGGAGTGTTGTTCCGTGAGACCTATGCTTGTGATATTGATGACCAAGAGATCACTGGTTTGGTCAAAAGTTCGAGTGGGGCAACAACCAAGAGATTTCAGCACCTTCTCTACGTGTAGAAGCTCTATGCCCACAAATCCTGAGAATGCAACTTTTAAACTTAATTTGAGAGTGGTATGTATCCTGGGCACCGACCACTGATCAAAGCATAACTTGGAATAGTGTAAACTTCTTTCGATAAACCACTCATTGAGAATTTTTATCCCCTTCAAGTCTGCAAGATTCTTGAGTTTTCCGGGGACATCGGAATAAGAGTAGTAAGATGGTACAACGATGATATTCGCACTAGTATCAGGCACGATATCGCCACCTTCATCCGATATCACGGATTTCAACTTCAAAAACTCGTTTTCAGAGAAACCACAAAGGTAAAATCCAATTTTGTTGAAAATTTGACTACCACTATGATGCAAGGCGGTCGATAAGTTGGCATGATGAGCAGAATTGGGCGACATAGAAGGATGGTGTTGCTCTCGAACAACCAGTTCGGAATTCTTATCGGGAAATATTGTATCATTTTCTGGCCTTACGCACACTTGTTGGAACGGTGACCTATCCAACTTATGCCAAACTAGACAGCTGCCCCAACCAATCATCTCGGGTTTGACTGTGGTGATATCGTAATACTTCCATTGTAGTGCAGCTCCTCGTTCGGCACTATCAGTAACCCATTTGGGATGGACAACTGGAATCCCCCATTCAATGGCCTTTTCATATCTTTTACCTGACTTTTCAATGCTGACGACAACCTTGTGGGAGGGTGTTAAAGATTCAGTGGGGTTACCTCCTAGATCTACGATAATTTTGGCAATAACGTCTCGATGGAATTGCGGTGAAGTTATATTAGACAGCCTGGAGAGACATATCGACATTCCATGGAATGGGCTCAAGAGAAAATTATCGATAATAGATGGGTCTATGTCTTTGTTCTGGGTCCAAAGGTCATAAATAGTGTTGACTGTATCAGGTAAAACAAATTTAATATCAGATCGTCTCTGAGCACAAAAATGGTATTTTGGGGTATCAATGCTTCCAACTAACAAGACATTTATATCAGCTAGAAGATCATTATGAAAAGTACCGCCCAGCATCTCAATCTTCCACGCCAAAGTTGATCTTTGAGCAGTATTGATAGAGGTGCTGCAAAATTTGAGCCCGTGAAAAGGGAGACCATTATAAGTTTCCATCTTTCACCAGATTCTCAAACACATCTTATATTCACTGCGTTGTGACAAGCTTGAATGAAAGCTTTGGTTTAAGAGATCAAGTTTTTGAAGTGCAATCTCACACAATAATTTGGAAATATTGTAATTATTACGATCTAACCAAAAACTTGGCTAGTATGAATACAACATTGTGGCTAGTGCAAAAATGTGTTTTTTTTTTGAGCAGTCAGTCTTTCGACGAACATACTTACTGCGAAAAACCATCCTTCAAAATAGGGCCTCTAATCAATAATGCCACAATCTGCATTTCCGGCTTCACGACAGGATTTTGTTGCCAAAGTCAGGTATTTGAATGATCTCCCTCCACCGCCATGTCCCCCGAAAATGGTAGAGCTAGAGTCATCATTGGAAGGTGACCCTTTAACGGCCTCCTCGCTTCTTTCCTCAGTTTTCCGCAAAGATCACTTTAGTAACTTAGTGACTCTGGATGACGATTTGGGATTACATTTGAGTTTGCTAGACAACCCCAAATGTATTGAAGAAAATACGTTGTCATCAATATCTGCACTATCACCAGAGTTTGGAAATAGCTCTATGCTTCATCCCGAAGACAGAATTTTACTGACAGATCCAACAAGAACCGTTGCTTCTAAAGAAGATAGCGTCAGTTTCTTGCGCAGGACTCAATACATTTCTTCCGACAGGACATCCGCCCATATGCCCTCATATTCGGATTCATCCTTGTCCAAGTTCCGAATGAGAAAGCGGGAGGACTTTGATGCTAAATCTGAGCTTCGAAGAGTTGAAAGGATGTTTGCTGATAGTGAAAAACATGAGAACGCTCGAGAATTGCTACATCCATCAAAAAATAATTTAAAAGCTAAAAAAGTTTGGAGTTTACTGCCAGACACATCCATGCTAGACCAGAGCTTTTATGACATAAAGTTTTCAAGCTCATCTTCTCTTAAGAAAGAGAGAACGAACAAACGGAAAGCTGAAGAGCCGTTGGATATCAAAGCGCCGCTTTTTAAATCAATTTCTCTTAGTGAAACCACAAATTTTATGACGTTGTACACTGCAAATGAGAACGATTGTGACCTTGTGAACACCTTGCTCAGAGACACTACAGAAAATGCCCCAGTTTCGTCTCCAGAGGAAGCCAAACCATCAAGTGATAAAATTTTCACATATCGTAAATTAAGGGATTACGATAGCAATTCGAGAACGTCCAGTAGTGCTGGATTATTTCGCCAACTATGCATCACTTTTGATGAAAAAACTTCAACTGCTCTATTTGTTCCAATAAAGGGGAAGATTGAACTCAAGAAGCGCCGCATCGACAACATTATAGAACCGAAGCTTAGGGCTCTCAGTTACGATGTGATCAATCTCAATATCAGAGAGCCAACTAGAACAGAAATTAATGAGCGTGATATACGCAGAAGTACTTTCGACCCCATGGAATTTGGCGCTGACGAAGAGGAAGAAAATGAGGAAGTTGCGAAGGAGGAAGTTACAGTCGATGATACACACCTTGCTTGACGTGATACAGATAAATAGTGTCTGGATTAGCTTGACGTAAACTTCTTGATTGAAAGCTAATACAATTGACTCACACTATAACACATAACCATGATAGAAGACCAAAGACCAATACAATCGGGTAGACCATGAGTAGAATTCGCTTTTCACCATCATTATGATCAAAAGACGATTCTCCAGCCATATCATATATTAATGATGCTGTACCAATCTTTCGACAGTTATTGACAATGGCGAGTATCAACCATGAACATAGAATAGACCATAGAAACATAACGGAATTTATAACAAGCCTCAGCAATTTCCACGAGATGAAAATAGAGCTTAACCCACCAAGTACAATTGGAAATAGTGTATATGAAAGGATGCTCATACATTGAAAAAATGTTAAGCCTATAACACCGGATGTTAGTTGGCCATTATCCGTCATCTGCGAGACGGGGGACACTAGCTGTATGTTGAGCGACAGCACAGCGAGTATTATCCAAATAAGGGAAAAAGATGCGCTGAATATTTGGGAAGTTTCGGAAGAATCAGCCCCACCAGAACTCAACGTTTTACTTTGCAAGTAAGTTATTATCAGGCTGAATGAAAGAACGAATACCAGCGGACCCCATAAATCCCAGTCAAGTATCTTTTGTATGGTCTCCTTCGAATATTCATTGGCGATTTCCGTATTTGGTCTTTCTTCGAAATTAATGTCTTGATTCAAGGAATCTGTGTTCCCCATCATACTTCCTCTTGAGGAAAAATGCTCACTAACTCTGCGAACGAGCATGAGTTTCTGTCGCAATCTAAGCGGCCATAGAATAGAAAGTAGCTTATCTCCAATACTAGACAAGTCTCTGCCTAACGTGGTGAGCACCGACTCATCTAATGTATTTCCACCACTAAACTGATTCTCTCTAATTTTAATGTTGTTGTTCTCCAAGATTGGATCTAAGTAACTCTGAGGTTTGACAAAGCTAGTAAACGTGGAAAAACTGGCAGTGTTAGATAACTGAGGCTGTGCGGTCTCCACTGACGGCGCATTGCGGTGGGAGCTAGGTTTTGGGTTTCCTAAAATTTCCGTTTGAGGGATATCAGGTTTGATCGATATATCAGACTCGTCCTGATCCAACATCTTGTCAAAAGTCAAATTGGCAGGCATAGTGAAGTTCAGCTTGGAACAACGAATCTAAGATGGTATTTTTAAGAGTCGTAAATATTCAAAGTTAAAGACAGCTTGGCCGCATTTTTTTCCTCATAATATTTGAGTTCTGCAGATTATAATAAGGGTGACAAAGTCTCTCATTGAAGTTTGAAGCAAGATACCAAATTGTGATTTTACAAGCAGAATGTTCAAAATGGATCTATCCATGACGATCTTAGAAGACAAAAGTCGACTTACGTAGGATGATGAAGTGCCCCAAAATGACTTCTTATTAGATAGCATGGGATCAAGACGTTTTATTCATCATCAAATTGATATAATTCTGTAACATTATAGGTACATCAATTGAGTATATACATTCACGCTGATTGCACCGTACAATAGCAACTCAACGTGAAAGAATTTTTATACTGAGTTCTCTCAAGCGAAAATGTACATTGCATTTAAGCACATGTCAATTGCAAAAGTAAATACACTTAATGCCCTTTCAAATTCATGAAAACCCAATCGACTCTGAAATTTCAAAATCCACCCTCAAGATATGTCAAGGTGACAACGAAGTTGGCCGTCTAGGTGGATTTATCTCCATTTCCTCATCCGAGCAGGACGAATCGTCAGAGTCAGAACTGAAGACGAATTTTTTGTGATCAAGACTCATCGAGGCCGAGGAACCAGGTATAGAAAACTGGGAGCCTCCAGATTGCTCAGACATTTCATATAGTTGTGGTTTGGACCCGGAACCGAGACTTCTCCTGAGCCCAGTGGGCCCAAGATCTAATCCGCTCAAACCGACTTTGATTGTTGAAAGACTAGCCGATATATTTGAATTTGAACTTGAGGAACCATGTCCAACGCTCGTATTGCGTTTGATCTGGGAACACGATACTGGGCTATTTTCGGGCTGTTGCGGCTTCTGATATCGCAAGGGCTGATCTGATACTTCGCTTGGTATGAATTTTTGCAAATGGGAAGGGATATCCTCATGTACTAGCTGTGATGATGTAGAAGCTGCATTTTCAGTTTCAGATCGTGCACCAACAGGTGAGATAATCAGATTTTCAGGATGTCCATTGGCATCGACATCCATCACGTCCTCAATTTGACAACTTTCCGGTACATCAAACAACTGGACATTTTGTTGGCTATTAATGACAGAATACAATGGATTTGTTGAGTCGTCGTAAACAGTGTTGTAATCATAATAATAATCGTACCCTCGGTTGGTTTTTGTGTTATGTGATACAGTATAGGGATCAGATTCATCATCGTCTGAACAAGTTTTCAGTGTTGTGGCAGGGAGTGGTGCTATAGTTGCAATGGGTTTCAAGTTTCCAGATGATGGAGACACATCTCTAGTGTTAGCACCTGAGGAGTTGCGCGACCAGTTAGGTGGTCTGTGAGATATGTTAGGGGAGGTCACTCTTGTATGTAGCATGAAACCTCCTTCATCATCACCATCATCGTCATCTTCCTCATCATAACCCATATCCTCATCATCATCAATGTTATTTTTTGAGCGTAATATTGTCCGAGAAGGTCCTTCATCATCGGAGTCATTTTGACAGTTAGTATCGGCATCTGACTCGGTGTCATCAATTGCAATACATTGATCAACTCTCATGTTGAAATGAATCTTCCTCTCTTTTTTATTTGCAAGAGGATTTTGCTGTGCTTGACCATCCACTTTATGAACATCCTCACTCGTCTGGTTAGCCGAAAGCGAAAATGGAGAAGCATCTTCATTGTTCGTATGGTTTGTGGAACTATTAGCGGGAGAAGAAGAATCGTTCATTGGATTCGAAAATGGTTCCAAAACCGGACTTCCTTTGAATTTATGGTCATGCTCTTCGAGAAGACTTTGGAGTCTTGAATAAGAAGCATCGCTAATCATTTTTTCAACATTGGAACGCTTTTTCAGTATTGGTTTCAAATGATCAGAATGTTTATCTTGCTCATTATTGTCCCTGTCATCATCTTTCATTGTACTGGTATCTTTGGTAGGAGCTTCGATGTCAACATTACCCTTGGAACTTCCACCAGATGACTCTTGTCTTTTCTTATGCTGTTGTTTTTTGAAATCGACTATATCAAAACCGTACTTGTCCTCTTTGTAAAGTGGTCCATACAACCAAGTAACATCACTTTCCTTACTCCAGTTCAGTTCTGCAGGTGAGATCGTTTTCAGGCCGTTCCGGGCTTGGGCCCATGTTCTCCATGACGCATTCTCAAGTCTTGCAGAGTTTGCAAAATCATTTCTCTTCAAAGTTACGTATCTCCAAGATTTGGATATCTCCAATTCATCCCAGTTGTGGGATAGATAATCGACGTGCTGTTCAGGAGAATGTTGTACGTCAATATCATCGTGTAAGTGCTGTTGAAAGGCTACCGAAGGAACAAGAGTCTCGTTCTGCTTGCCATGTTGGTATCTCTTTAACTGATGTTTTGGAACGAGACTAACAGAATTCGCCGATCCTGTAGAACTCAGGGAATCTTCAGAAAAGCAATTTTCGTCAGATGTCTCCTCACTTTGGAAACTCTGTGGAGAGTAGGAAGGAAATGTCTTTTTGCTCTTCGAAGCAGACGGCACGACACTTGTATAGAATCTAGGCACATTCTCTGTCTCATCGAGTGTTGACTTCATGTTCAATTTGTGCAAAGTTTCATCTGAAACAAAGTCTTTTGAACTTAATCTTGCTTCTTTATCTGGAATAGAATCAGTATCTAAAGAGTGGGTCTGCGTAATAAAATCATCAAGCAGACCCATCGACCTGGTCCTCTTCAACTTGAACGTTGTTTTGTTGAAATGATCGTCATCCTCAGCTTCAATGTGTTGCGAAGTCGTTGGACCTTCATTAAAAACCTCCTGAGACATACTTCGAAAGATAGTTTACCGCAATCTCTGAGCTTATGTGATTCTTGCTTGTAATCGGCTTACACGAAAGATAAGCTGTTGTTCTCACACCTGCTAAACATAAACTGTAGTCTTCCGAAAACAGATAGTAGCAGAGTCAAACGAATTTACCGAAAATGAATTCAGGTCGAGTGTCGTATATTATTATATCGCTTTAATTTTATGGAAACAAAGCTTCAAACTAAATTTTGAAAACCCACGCCCAACCATTTCTTTTGTTTTTTTGAATTGGGGGAACTCGGAAAATAATTTGGAGTAATTCCGCTACACCCATGCACCAGTTACTTGAGTGCAAATATTACAGGTACAAGATAGCAACAAGTCATTTTGAAGCAATCACTTTGTACAGCTAGCAAAGTGTGAGAAAAAAATGAGAGCCTGGTTCACTGCTTGTGGACACCTGACCTTATGAGCACATTCCCGAGGCTCAATTTATTCGTTGGAGTCCAGCTCAGAGTTACAAGAAATACTTGATTTTAACTATGACAGCCACCTTCTATCTAATCTTTGCAAATTTTGATATCCTTCTACGGATCCATCAAAACTCAGTCAAAATAAAGAGGAAGGTGTCTCCACAAAATTCGACTGAGCTACTGCAATCCTGTCACCAAAATCTGGGCATTAAATTTTTGATCTTTTGTTTTGTGTGGAGACAAACAAGTCTAATTTGAACAGTTTACTGAAAAGTCAACAGGTTGGAGATTATACAGAGTTGACAAATATTACTCCGATCTAACTGTCAACATATATTGTGCCGGTCCTAAGCTGGGATTTTTAGCGTTTTCGACTTAAGTTATCAGCAACCCGCATTACTAAAATTTGGAAACAATCTCATCTACTGCAATAGCTTAAAGTGCACGTAAAGCCTTTGATATTGTTTATTATCTACTTAGCTCCAACCAAATTTATATGGTGCAGAAAATAAGAGGCTTGCCATTACCAATTATAAGGAGTGCTTGGTTGTTTTTTATCCGAAAATGTTTGGGGCTATTGTGTGCGTGGAAATTTTCGGAAAACATAATTCTACATCAGGAAACTGCAAGTTCAAAATAGGTCTCATGCGAAGCATGTGGCGAAGCTGCGTGGTTTAATTCGTCCATAATTCGGCGCACTTTAAAACAGGTTGAAATCCTATATTTATATTTACAAGTTCAAACTTTCTCTCCTTTAAAACAATCAAGAGCTATTAACTATTAAGATTACACGGTCATTTTTCCAACTACTTACATTCCTTATCTTGCTGTTATAGTGCCCGTTTGAAAACCTAAAGGATATCCAATAGTTCGTTTTATTCAGTTCATTTGAAAATCGTAAGGTAAGTTGAATACCAAACAAAGAGAGCATCCATGGGTTGAGAAGCGAAAGAGCATTCAAAAGCAGTTACATCAGTAACAACGTGTCATACAATTGCATGGGGCATTCACATTAGGTTTTTTCATGTCGCTGAGCTATTTCGTGAGACAACTGACAACTGACAACTGTAATAATAAGTGCTAGACGCGTTTGCAGCGGTTTGTATTATTTCCTAGGCGAGAGCTTTCAGAGAACTCTCCGAGGAAACACATGATTTCAATTGAATATCAGCCTATTGCCGAAATGCTGTGGTGCAATTGTGCACAAATTACTAGTCACATGAGCGAGTGATGATTGATTAGTTTTTCGCACCAAGATGGCTGGTCTGTCGGTTCAAAATGTCTTGTTTTGGGTCGTGCAGCTAACGGAATGAAATAAAAACAAACAGTCACACACCGGACACCACGATTACCTAATTCACGCGCCACACCCTTCCGCAATAGGCTGAATTTCGCTGATCAATAGGCCGCAGCAAAGTCGAAGGAACGTTTTATTGCGCGCGACCATGCATATTTCCACGAAACAAGGCTCAAACATAAACAACAAAACCAAAACGCGACTTAAGAAAAAGTACCCCTGCCTGCACATCCTTTTTGCTTAGCTGCTATGATTTAAACAAGCTGAATTCCATTTTCTGTCCAGCACTTCCCTTCTCTTCTCGCGAACCTCTTGCTCTGGCGCCCTTTAATGAAACTAACATTATTTTCTAGCTGAGTTCCAAAATGAAAATTACTACTTCAACATTGTTAGCCATAAGTGCCACGCTAATAAAATCAGCTCATGCTGCTCCAGCACCAAAAGCTGGAGATGTTGCCAACACAGAAGATTGCACCACGACTGCTAAAAGCTACCATGCTCATCATCAGCACAAACGAGCTGTTGCCTATGATTATGTTTACGTTACTGTCACTGTTGACTCGGCTGGGAACACCGTGTCTCCAACAGTTGAAGCATCGCTTGAAAGCAAAGATATTGACCCAGCAACATCTGCCTCATCTTCGAGCTCTTCATCATCCTATTCCTCAACCACTGATGGCTCTGTCAGCACCAGCTCGTCTTCTACCTCGAGCACCAGCTCGTCTTCAAGTACTTCGAGCTCCTCTTCCGGATCCTCTAGTGGCATAAGTGGCGATCTATCTGCCTTCTCAGATCCAACTGAAAAATTTGAGGATGGAACTATCTCTTGCTCTAGTTTCCCATCTGGTCAAGGTGTGATCGCATTGGACTGGCTTGGATTTGGTGGATGGTCTGGTATTTATCATCCATCTGACACTTCCACAGGTGGTTCATGTACTGAAGGCTCCTACTGCTCGTATGCATGCCAACCAGGTATGTCTAAAACCCAGTGGCCTTCTGATCAACCATCTGACGGAAAATCTGTTGGTGGTCTTCAATGTAAGGAAGGTAAACTTTACAGAAGCAATCAAAATTCAGATTACCTATGTGAATGGGGTGAAGACTCTGCTAGAGTTGTTTCCAAACTTGACGAGTCTGTTGCTATTTGCAGAACTGATTATCCGGGAACTGAAAACATGGTGATTCCAACTGTGGTCGAAGCAGGCGGCGAGAACATTTTGACAGTGGTTGACCAAGATACATACTATCAATGGCAGGGCAAAAAGACGTCTGCTCAATACTATGTTAACAATGCTGGTGTGTCATACGAAGACGGTTGTATCTGGAGCGAAGCTGGAACCACTGTCGGAAACTGGGCACCTTTGAACTTTGGTGCAGGATACACAAATGGTATATCTTACTTGTCACTGATTCCTAATCCGAACAACCTCGAGGCTGCCAATTTCAACGTGGAGATTGTTGCTTATGATGACGACAGTGTGGTTACCGGAGAATGCTATTATGAGAATGGCTCCTATAATGGAGATGGAAGTGACGGATGCACAGTTTCCGTTACCAAGGGTAAAGCCAAGTTTGTCCTTTACAACTAAACTTGATTGCCCTTGTCTTCAATTCTTGAAACATTTCGCTTAGCCGTTTTGTTGAATAGCAAGGCGCTTGAATTTCAAATTTCCTCAGATGTGTGTTTACGTTTCTTAGAACATTAAAATTGTAATATTGAAATATATTGTGTGTGTAACTTTTTTTTTTTTTTGATTATGTAACTTTCAAAAATTTTTTTTATAAAATAGGTCTGCAAGAAGTACTGCTCGAGCCATGGACACACAGCAAAGTAATAAGCCTCACAGGTCCAATTCGAAAAGGACAACAGCGAAAATGAAGTTGAGCTCGCAGGGACAGAACGCGAAAGCTTTCGCGGTTTCAAGGCCCGGTAAACTACAGAAACAGGCCACAAGATCAAGCGATCTTAATGAAAAAAAACTACATGTTCCTATGATTGATAGGAGTCCAGATGATGACCCTCCACCTGTGATTGTTGCTGTGGTTGGTCCAAAGGGGACCGGAAAGACCACTTTGATTAGATCTCTGATACGAAGATTAACGAAGACTACATTAACAGATATTAAGGGTCCTATTACTGTCGTGAGTGGCAAAAGAAGAAGGCTCACTTTTATCGAATGTGCTAATGATCTCAACTCAATGATAGATATTGCTAAAGTTGCAGATCTGGTTTTGCTCATGATCGATGGCAATTTTGGATTTGAGATGGAAACAATGGAATTTTTGAATATTGCACAACATCACGGCATGCCTAAAATTCTTGGAGTAACGACTCATCTTGATCTTTTCAAAAAGCCAGCTACTTTGCGGGCCTCGAAGAAGAGATTAAAACACCGCTTTTGGACCGAAGTTTATCAAGGCGCAAAACTTTTTTATCTATCGGGGGTGATTAATGGCCGCTACCCTGATAGAGAAATTCTGAATCTTACACGTTTTATTTCCGTGATGAAATTCAGACCTCTGAGATGGAGAAATGAACATCCATATCTGTTAGTTGACAGAATCATAGATCTGACGCATCCTTCTTTGATAGAAAAAAATCAGAAAGTCGATCGAAAGGTCGCTGTTTATGGATATGTTCATGGCACTGCATTGAAAGCAGAGAATCAACGAGTCCATATTGCCGGTGTAGGTGATTATACGATTTCTCATGTGGAGAAATTACCAGACCCTTGTCCCACACCTTTCTACGAGCAAAAATTAGAAGAAATTGAACAGGAACAAAGGAGGGATACAGAACAGAGTGGGCAAAAGAGTGTCTTAAGGCGTGGAAGAAGAAAGCGATTGGAGGATAAGCAAAAAATTATCTATGGGCCAATGTCAGATGTTCAGGGGGTTTTAATAGATAAAGATGCAGTCTACATTGACGTTGGAAGTGAATCATTCAAGGAGGGAGCTGATCATGGCCTTGGCGAGAAAATGGTGACCAGCTTACAGAAGGCCAGTGAGAGAATGGATGCAAGATCATTCGGTGAGGTCCAGTTGTTTAGTGATGCCCCTGAATCACTTGCAAACCACGTGCGAAATGTTGAAGATGAGGTTCTCAGACAAGAAAGTGGAAGAAAAGAGCTTAGAGAGGCTCGTCCTTATAAGTTTGATGAGTTAGAGATTTCTGATGACGCAGAAGTTTCTTCTAGTGATGCAGAATCCCAAGACGAAAGCGACAATCTAGAAAATCTCAACTTTCGAGACGATATCCGGGAGTCTTCTCAAACGCCAACGGAACTTGAACAAGCAAACCTCGAATCTGATTCTGATTTTGATCTATCGGATGATGAGTCGTTGGAGGCTAAATCTTACTGGCAAAAAATTGGCTCGAAACTGAATAGCAATGAAGGGAGAAGGACATGGGATATCAACAAGTTGTTGTATATGGATAACATTGACCCCATTGACGCAATATCCAGATGGAGGAAAGAAGAAGAAGAGCCGGAATACTCGAGCTCCATCGAAGATGGAGATGCTGACGACAAAGAAATTCATGACACGGGTGATCAGGATTCAGACGAAGATGAGAATTTTTTTGTAAAAAAGGCTCTTTCCGATAACTTGATTCAGAGTGATAGTACTCCTAACGGAATCATCACTACAACCAGCAAATTGCATGACAAATGGCTCTCAAATGATTCCGCTTTAGGCAGGCTGAAAAGCCGGTTTTTTGTTTCTCCAAAGCAAAGATTGAAAGAGCTGGATGCCTACGAGACTGACCCAGAAGAGGAATACGGAGATTATGAAAATCTGGAGAGTGAGGAGGAAGATTCAAGCACTACTTCTGAGGACTCTTCCGGAAATGATGCGGGTGATGATTTTTCTGGTTTTAATGCTGAACCTACAGACATTCAAAATACAATGGATGTTGGTTCAGCTAGTGAAGACCAATCTAGCGATATGGGTTTTGAGCGGCAGAGGGAGCGCAACGCGAAGAGAAAAGAGAAACTGAGACAACAATTTGAAGAAGAGGAAGATTTAACGAATAACAATGATATATTTGATGAAACTGATACATGGTATGACTACCAGAAGGCAAAGATGGCTAAACAACTTGAGATTAATAAGGCTGAGCTTACCGACATGTCAGAAGACGTCAGGACACATATAGAGGGTTTCACCGCAGGGTCGTATGTCAAATTGACATTCAATAATTTACCAATGGAAGTAATAGAAAATTTTGATCCAAAATACCCTTTGGTTATTGGTGGCCTTTTACAAACTGAAGATAGATTTGGATTTATTAACGCAAGAATCAGAAGGCACAGGTGGCATAAAAAGGTTTTGAAGACTAACGACCCGCTGATCCTATCTTTAGGATGGAGGAGATTTCAAACACTTCCAATTTACACAACATCTGATTCAAGAACTAGAAATAGAATGTTGAAGTATACCCCCGAACACACATACTGCTTTGCTACTTTCTATGGACCTTTGGTTGCACCGAATACTACTTTTTGTGGTGTTCAGGCAGTTTCAAAGGAGCTCACAACTGGTTCTTTTAGAATAGCTGCTACCGGTATTGTTGAGGACTTGAATGCTGATGTGGAGATTGTGAAGAAACTGAAGCTTGTTGGACACCCTTATAAAATTTTCAAGAACACCGCATTCATCAAAGATATGTTTTCTTCTGCTTTGGAAGTCGCAAAATTCGAAGGAGCCACTATCCGAACAGTATCCGGACTTCGAGGAGAAATCAAAAGAGCTCTTTCCAAACCAGAAGGCCATTTTAGAGCCACTTTTGAGGATAAAATTTTGATGAGTGATATCGTTTTTTTGAGGACCTGGTACCCAATCAAGCCAAAAAGGTTTTATAACCCCGTGACATCTCTGCTTCTATCTGACAAGGAGAATTGGAGAGGTATGAAGCTTACAGGGACTTTGAAGGCGGAAAATAACATATCAGCGGTGTCAGATCCTGATTCAGAATACAAGAAGATTGAACGAAAAGAACGAAAATTCAATCCAATCAAAATTCCTCGCTCCATTCAAGCGAACCTACCTTATAAATCTCAGTTGCACCAAATGAGAAAACAGAAGAGACAAGGATATTTGCAAAAGAGAGCAGTCGTTGTAGGAGGTGAAGAAAGAAAAGCAAGAAGCATTGTTCAAACCGTTCAAACTATTAAAAAGGATAAAGACCAGAAACGTTTAATGAAAAAACAGGAAAAAAATGCCGAAAGACTTAGAAAGCTGGCAAAGCTGGAGGAAGCTAAAAGAGATAAGGAGAAGCAACGAAAGAAGGAGTTTTTCTCTCAAAGTAAGAAGCGAAAATTGGCAGGAGCCAGCCCTGCCTCCAGTGATGCATTCGGTAAGAAAAGGAAAAGCTAATGTAAGTATAAAGAGTATCCAGCAATTGTATAACAGCCCATCTCGAACAAGTCGTCGAAATTGCAATACCGACTATATTAAAGTTATTACTTAGTTTAAATGTATTGTGATAACCATCTGAATCCTTCACCGTAACCTTGTCTCATGACGATTGAGCACATGAAAACCTCAACCGGTCTTGTGTCGGTAAGTTGGACTCTGTCTTTACCGGTTGTGTTGTACAAACCCAAGAAGTGTCTCAGTTCATTTTCACTAACAGCTTTTGGAGAGTCAATCTTATTGCCGAGAATCAAAAATGGCACTTTAGCCAACTCTTCGATGGCAAATAAAGCATCCAATTCAGCCTTTGATTCTTCAAATCTTTCGGAATCAGCAGCATCAACTAAATAGACAATGCCATTGACTTCAGGAAAATAATCTTTCCATAATCTTCTAGCTTGTTGGTGACCCCCAAGATCGAATGTAGTGAAACGAACATTACCGATAGAAAGCTCTTCGGATGTGGGATGTAAAGTCGGTTGCAAAGTGGCCATACGATCATTTTTTAACATATGGAGCAATGTCGTTTTGCCTGCATTATCTAAACCCAAAAATAGTAGCTTAGCATGTTTGTTCCATAATCCTAAAGAAGCTAAAACATCTTGAACTGTAATGCTCAATGCACAAATAAGCACAGAATAGTGCTTATTTGTACAAGACCCTGTTAGTATTTATCTTGGATGATTGTTGGGTTCCAACTTACACCACTCAAGAATCCACATTTCGCTTGATATATACTATCTTATAACTTTAGCTATCAAATGACGAAATTAATGCTAAATAAAAAACAAGAATCAATTCGATAAATGTCTTCGTTAAGTCTCTCAGAATCCGACAGGGGTTATGAGCGTTCACTGAAAGGTTCCCACTCATCTGTATGTGAGGCTTACATAATCACAATTAACGAAACAGAAATTTAATGAACACGAAAACAACAAACTATTTGTTGCTCGTAATAGCTCTCTTTCATAAGCTATTTTCATTCACTTTATCTCTTGTTGGTTTTTGAATTACTGAGAACTGCTATGAAGCTGGATATTAAGGTACGTTCAATTTAATAGCGCTCTATTACTGACAACCTAAAAGAAACTTTCAAGTACCAGGTCAGATCGAGTGAAGGGCATCGATTTTCACCCTACGGAGCCTTGGGTTTTGACAACTCTTTACAGTGGAAAAATAGAAATTTGGTCTTATGAAACTGGATCAGTCGTCAAAGCAATTGATGTTACCAATGTCCCTGTTAGAGCAGGGAAATTCGTCGCCCGCAAAAATTGGGTTGTCGTTGGTTCTGACGATTTTCAGATTAGAGTTTACAACTATAATACTGGTGAACGCGTTGCTCAATTTGAAGCTCATCCTGACTACATTAGGTCCATTGCAATCCACCCCACTAGATCGTACGTTTTGACTTCGTCGGACGATTACACTGTCAAGCTTTGGAATTGGGACAATAATTGGAAATTGGAGCAAATTTTTGAAGGACACCAGCATTATGTGATGTCTGTCGCTTTCAATCCCAAAGACTCTAACACTTTTGCGTCTGCTTGTCTGGATAAAACTGTGAAAATCTGGTCTCTGGGATCTAAGGTTCCAAATTTTACACTTCTTGCGCCCGAATCGAAAGGTTTCAACTATGTTGATTACTATCCACATGGAGACAAGCCTTATTTGATCACTTCTTCTGATGATAAGTCGGTCAAGGTTTGGGATTATCAAACGAAGTCCTGTGTTGCAACATTGGAGGGACACTCTTCCAATGTGTCGTTTGCGGTTTTTCATTCCGAATTACCTTTGATCATCTCTGGATCCGAAGATGCTTCCATCAAAATCTGGAATTCAAATACCTATAAGTTAGAAAAGTCGCTGAATTACTCGATGGAGAGAGCATGGTGTGTGGCAACAAAGAAAGGTTCAAGTTTGATGGCTGTAGGTTTTGACACTGGTCATGTTGTCGTCAAATTGGGTGATGATAAGCCTTTATTATCCATGGACCCTATGGGCAAAATCGTCTACTCGAAACATACTGATATATACAGCTCGGTGATCAAGGCTTCTGATGCGCAATTAGGAGATGGAGAAATTCTGCCCTTGACTCATAAAGAGCTAGGAAGTATTGAAATATTTCCAAGTACATTGAAACATTCTCCAAATGGAAGGTTTGTCACGGTTACCGGTGACAACGAGTACATTATTTACACTGCACTTGCATGGAGGAATAAGATGTATGGTCCAGCGTTGGATTTCGTTTGGGCGCAGGATTCTAATTATTATGCTATCAGAGAATCGGCATCCTCAGTCAAAATATACAAAAACTTTAAAGAGAAAACAAGTGGCCAAATCGATCTAATCTATGCCGCTGACAAGCTTTTTGGTGGAACTTTGTTGACTGTCAAATCCGATGGGTTTGTGTCACTCTACAATTGGGACACGGGTGACTTGGTTAGACGAATTGATGTTGAAGCGGAAGATGTTGTCTGGTCAGAAAATGGTGAATTGATGCTTATTGTTTCGAGCGAAACTGCTTATGCACTTAGGTTCGACAAAGACATCTTTCAAGAACACCTGAATAACGGAACGATTGATCCACAGGAGGGATGCGAGGATTGCTTCGAGGTTCTGTACGATGTTCAGGATCAAATAGTGAGCGGTCAATGGGTGGGTGATGTGTTTATTTACACCTCATCTTCGAATAGGCTCAACTATCTTGTTGGAGGATCCATCAACAACTTGGCTCACTTTGACAAAACAATGTATTTGTTGGGATATTTACCGAGAGACAATAAGGTTTATGTTGCTGACAAAGACATCAACATCTTATCTTATTATTTGTCACTATCTGTCTTAGAGTTCCAGACAGTTGTTTTGCGTGGCGACCTTGATCAGGCAGATGAGTTGATGGCGAATATCGACCCTAAAGACATCCCAAAGATTGCCAGATTTTTAGAACAACAGGGTTTCAAAGAAAAAGCGTTAGAACTAACAAACGATTCTGAGCAGAAGTTTGAGTTAGCGATCGAAACACTGAATCTCACTCTTGCGCAAGAAATTGCGGAGCAAGACAACAGTCCTCACAAGTGGAAAAAGCTGGGGGATATTGCCATGGCTAATTGGAATCTAAAGTTAGCTAAGGAGGCTTTCATCAGATGTAAAGACTATGCATCTCTTTTACTTCTTTACATCTCAGTTAATGATGTTGCTGGCCTGAAGAAATTGAGCGACGAGTGTGTGATCGCTGGAAAATTCAACTTAGCATTTTCCTCTGCATGGGCTGCATCGGACCTGTCCACTTGTTCTGAAATTCTTCTAAAGACGGACAGGCCTGCAGAGGCTGTTTTGTTGAGCAAAGCCTATGAAAAAAATAATACTATTGATGACAAATTATCTCAATGGAAACTTTATTTAAATGGAATAGGAAAAGAGAGACTTAGCTCAAGACTGCTTGATATGAAGCAGAACAAAAGTGAAGCAGCTGTTGAAAAAACAGAGGAAACCCTCATTGATTTAGAAGAAGAGTAAATTGATGAAACAGTCGGTATTTGAATTAAAGAAATGAGTGCATTTGAGGAATAATATACATGACAATAAATTAGGTAGTATAGTGCGATGTTCGATGCCTCGTCTCTTGAGCATATGCGTAGTCGATAACCAACCGTTTGTTGATTGAGGTCACTTGAATGTGTAAATTTGAAGGTCGATCAAAACAGAGTCTATTATTATGCGGCTCGAAAAACCTCTTTTTTATCGACGAAGTTGTCGACCTTGTCCAAGCAAACAAAATAGCATTCCTTGGATTCTGGCCTGCATGCTTTTGGTTTGAAACGGAAGACTTGGCGGAAAACGTGTGTCAACCTTTCTTCAAGGAATTTATCGTCCTTACCGGTAAAAAACTTGAACACCGAATTGCCACCCTTTTTCAATAAATCTATGGATGTTATCAGGGCAGCGTCACATAAATCCATTGACATGGCATGGTCTCTGAACGATAAACCTGAAGTATTAGCCATCCTTATGTATGGCATGTTAGTAGTCTGATTTGCAAATCCTCCTATTTGAGGAAAGGGAACGTACATATCACTTAAAATCACATCCACAGGTCTGTATAACTCATCGTAGTAAACATTCTCCAATGTATGATCCTGTTCGGTTTTTTCAAGCCTGCTTAATTCAGATTCTGAGTCTATGACTGACTTAGCTTGTATTTCGAAGGCCGATTGGTTACTGATCACCTCAATTGGCTGAAATTTCTGTTTCAATTTCTCCATCTCAACAACTTTGAAGTGTTCCTTTATGCTTTCATGGGTCTTCTTACTCAAGATATTTGCTTGCATAGAAGACGATCCGTTAGGAGGTTGATATACGAGCAGATCAACCCCAAGAATATTTGAACCTTTCCGACAGCGCTCCAGGGCAACTTGACTCCATGCTCCTGGAGCCGCACCAAGATCGAGTACGTTGGAAATCCGTTTTTGGGAAAATATTTTAAACTTCTCATCGATCTGAAGGAGTTTAAACGCGGCTCTTGACTTGTAATCGTAATGTTTTGCGTCGCGCGTGTACAAATCGGTCCGTTGTCTTTGAATCCATCTGTGAGAAGAACCTGATTTCTTTGAGTACCTTCTCGTCAGCCAAATAAACCACATTGATTTCTTATGAGTATACATCCTGTGGGTGACTTCGGTGCCCACTGAAAGAAGCACCCTAGTCATATTTCATTTAGATAAAAATTGCTTAAAACATAATACACAGCCTTGACAATCCAAAACGCGTTTACACATCACGTGATAAAACAAAAGCTTGTAACCCTCAAGATGAATGAAAAAAAATTGAGCTAGAATAAATTTTCATCTTACTATTGTCGAACAGACCGAAGCAGAACGGTATTACCTATTAGTAGGGAGACAGTAAATAAGCCAAATGTCTAAAGTCAGCGCTACCCAAGTGAGAGAGAATGTCAAGGAGATCCTCAAATACTCCAACGAGACCAAGAAGAGAAACTTTTTGGAGACCGTTGAGTTACAGGTTGGTCTGAAAAATTATGACCCTCAGAGAGACAAGCGTTTCTCTGGTACTTTAAAACTGCCACAAGTGCCAAGACCAAACATGACCATTTGTATTTTTGGTGATGCTTTTGATGTTGACAGAGCTAAGTCGCTTGGTGTTGATGCTATGTCTGTTGATGACTTGAAGAAGTTGAACAAGAACAAGAAGTTGATCAAGAAGCTGGCCAAGAAGTACAATGCTTTCATTGCTTCTGAAGTTTTGATCAAACAAGTGCCAAGATTGTTGGGCCCTCAGCTATCTAAGGCTGGTAAGTTCCCAACTCCAGTCTCCCACAATGACGACTTGTATTCTAAGGTCACTGATGTTAAATCCACCATCAAATTCCAGCTGAAGAAAGTTTTGTGCCTGGCCGTTGCTGTTGGTCACGTTGAGATGGAGGAGGATGTTCTTGTCACTCAAATTATGATGGCCATCAATTTCTTGGTCTCCTTGTTGAAGAAGAACTGGCAAAACGTTGGCTCACTTGTCATCAAGTCCTCTATGGGTCCTTCTTTCAGACTTTATTAACTCTAGTATAATTTTAATAAAGTAACTCTCAAGGCTCGAGAAAGATCATGTTTGAACTGGTTTAAATCAAAATTTTTGTAGAAAAATCAGTTCAGCTTTGAGTTAAATTTGCATCGCCCTCTATAAGCTTTCAAATTGAGCTGTATAAGCAGCCAAATGCACTAATCTATAATGTCAGAATCCGAAACAGACATTTCCTTGGAGTTCCTCGGGGAGAAAACCGTGAACAATGAGCATCATGTGATTAGTCTAGATAGTGATGAGGATAGTGCTGAGCTACAAGTCAGGCATGAGACATCCCGATCTAAAGAAGGTACTTCAAAACGCAGATTGGGGGAAATTCTAATCGATGCAGAAGAACACGGACTGAAGAGACCTACAATACGCTCTTTTTTTGAAAGCGAGCAAGATATACCGAGATTTCAGTCTCCGATCAGACTTATTTCCAACGATCCATACTGCAGGGTGTTTCCACCATCATCTAACAAGCATACTGTTACTTTGTTTGATTTGGTGGGGTCCAGGATACTTCAAAACAGTTACCAATTTAATATGCTTGTGGACTGCGAATTTTTGCTACCTTTCTTCAAAGCAGACCCCTTGAATTTTGAGCTTACTCTCATTGGTGTGCAATCCAATTTTGCAGTTGAAGAGAATCACCGTCTTCAGTATCGAATTAAAACAGTGGACGTATCTACAAAATTGTCCAAATGGGGAACCCATCATTCCAAAGTGATGATCAATTTCTTTCATGATGATACATGTCAAATCGTCATCCACACCATGAATCTTACTCACACGGATTATCTAGCTCAAACTCAAATGTGCTGGATATCTCCAAGGTTAAGAAAGCTAAATTCTCATGCTGACACAAATGATGAAAAAGAGACTCTTGATCCAATCTACGATGTTGGCATTATTTTCAAAAGAGACTTTTTACAGTACCTCTACACATACGAAGACTCTGTGGTGTCTTCATTAGCTGTGAAGTTGAAAGCGTTTGATTTCTCTCCCATTGATGTAGCCTTTATTGGTTCAAGCCCGGGACGTTATGAATTCAACTTGAACGACAGCACAAAAACGCATTTAGATTCCGTACGTGACAGACCGCTGTATGGTTATGGAAGGTTACGTCAAGTCCTGGAACGATATAAATTGACTACCCCAAATGACGCAAAATTTATAATGCAAGTATCGTCGATAAGTGCGCCGCTAGATAACAAGCATACAAACATTGGCACACACATTTTGTCGAGTATTGTGGAAGGATCGCAGGTAATTGTCAAGCAGCCAAATCACAAGTTTGGAATGAAAACTGGGGTTGAAATAAATGTTATTTGGCCAACAGAGAACGAGATTTTGAATGCACATTATGGCCACATATCAGGACACGCAGTGATGTTCAAGTCAAGAGCAAGCAATGGTTGGTACGCTTATGAGAATCAAGCTAAATTTCTTAGATCATTCTTTTACAGATGGTCTTCCAAATCAGCTTCTCAATCTATTGCCGGAAGGAGTAATTTATCGCCGCATGTCAAATCTTATTGTGTGACGAAAAATGACTTTGAGACGTTAGAGTGGTTCCTTTTAACTTCGGCCAATCTTTCGAAACAAGCATGGGGGGCACCTGACCGTGGATATGGAGCTGCTTTTCAAAGTGACTCGCAGACCAAACATGTCTACACAGTGAAATCTTTTGAGGCAGGCGTTCTTATTATCCCTGCATGCATAAAGGCAAAATACAAAATAAAGAAAGCGTTTGCGCTGACCCCTGTTCAAGGAACAGACTTCTATGAAGGTGTGAACGATGACACTGTACACTACCCGATCAGACTACCTTATGACACTCCTTTAAAAAAGTACTCAGACAATGATCGTCCATGGACGACAGAAAAACTGGAAGAGATTTACAACACAAGCTAGGTAGTCAACCGTTTATTGGTCTATATCAAAATCTATCATGACTCAAGCTTTTAGATTTTTGTGGCCGCAGTGGTACAAAGACCGAGGATTGACGACATGCAGCAGCTGAGACAGGTAGTTATTATATTTCCGGAGCTGAGATCCAGATCGCAGCAATATATGGAAAAATAATACTCATGGCACTCGCTCTCTTCTCGTTGATAACCTGGTTTCTTGGGTGAGTTAGAATTAACGAAAGCTGTTATAGGCTCTTGAGTAGATTGAGGTTGCACGTTATGAACAATTTGGTCGCCGTTTTCATTGGTAGGCTGAGAAGTCTGTTTCTTTTCTTCATTTTGAGTTACGGTAGTGTCCGCCTCTGGTTCTGAGGCTGTTTCACGATCTTGCAAATCAGCGACATCAGTGATTGTTGCCTGGGGTGAAATACCAAGTTCATTACGGTTTTCGTCATCATACTGAACAGTCGCAGCGTTATCTTTGCTTGATGTATCTTTCAGAGAATCTGGCGAGGTTGACTCGCTCAAGTGGGACCTTGCATCAGTAAAGTACGCCGATTCAGAATCTGTGATTATGGAAGCTGATGATGTTGCAATGGGAATAGAATTTGCAGGCGCAGACATGACAAAAAGTACTTACTGTTGAAATGCCTACTTTTGTGAACTCGAGACACCAAAGAACGAAGAACGTTTATAGCTTATTCATATTGAAGTGTACGCCTCAAATATGTATCTAACCAGCCACGATGGTGGCTAGTTCACAAAATTTTTTAATATTTTTTTTATGGTAAAGCAGCTGCAATCTTTGACTGTTCTTAAGAATCAAATTAATCTGCAATGCCACCGAAGACGGAACCAAGAAAATGGAAGCCTCCCAAGGGCCCAAAAAATACACCTCACAAAAACAAGAATACCATTGGTTTGGGAAGAAGCATCAAAAATCTCAAAAACCAGGAAAATAAAGTGTACTATCTGCCTGATGGAGAAATGCGGTTCACCACAGACAAACATGAAGATGACTGGGTCAAACTACGGTCGGTTACACAAGAAAATGCTCTTGATGAATTCTTGAATACAGCAGCTTTGGCAGACAAAGATTTTTCTGCTGAGAGATCCACAGGAATCAAAATCATAAGTGTCAATAATCAGACTGTGGATAGTGGCAATTACAATCCTTATTTGCTTACTACCGAAGAAGAAATCAAAAAGTTTCATGTTCAAAGAGAGCATATTTCCGAGTTGCGGGTGCCAAGACGTCCTAGATGGGATAAATCGATGACAAAGCATGAGCTCGAAAGATTGGAAAGCGAAGCTTTTCTTGAGTGGCGGCGTAACCTTGCCCTTTTGCAGAAAAATCATGATCTTTTGCTTACGCCATTCGAGAGAAATATCTTGGTTTGGAAACAACTCTGGAGAGTGGTAGAAAGATCTGACTTGGTTGTTCAGATTGTGGATGCAAGAAATCCCCTGCTTTTCCGTTCTGAAGACCTGGAAAATTATGTTAAGGAAACCAATCCTTTGAAACGAAATTTGTTATTAGTCAACAAAGCTGATCTATTGACTTATGAACAAAGGTTGGAGTGGGCTCGATATTTCAAAGCACATAATATCAAGTACACATTTTTCAGTGCATACCTCGCAAACGAGGATCTTGAGAGAGAAAAGGAAAAGCTCGAGCAACGACAAATGGAAATGGAGCAGGGAATTGAGGTTCGCGATAATGCGCTTTCTGAAGAATCGGATTCGGACCTGTCCGGTGAATCTGATTTGGATGACGAAGGGAAACAAGAAATGGAGACACTTAAACAAGAATTAAAATCGATCGAGGAAAGATTACAAGGATACAGCTTAGAAAACTCCACAGAGGCTGGAGATGAGGAAGATACAAACGAGATGACACGAATCATAACGGTGCAGGAGTTGGAAGATCTGTGTCTCAGAGTTGCTCCGGAACCATTGACTGAACCACCTGAAGGTCAACCAAGACGCCTTCAAATTGGGTTAGTTGGATACCCTAATGTAGGTAAGTCGTCGACAATCAATGCTTTGGTGGGCTCTAAACGAGTGTCTGTATCTTCCACCCCTGGGAAAACGAAGCATTTCCAAACTATTTTGCTTTCTGACAAAGTGATCCTATGTGATTGTCCAGGTTTAGTTTTCCCTAACTTTGCATACACCAATGCAGATCTGGTTTGCAACGGTATACTTCCTATAGATCAACTTCGTGAGTACACAGGACCTATGCAGCTGGTTGCCAAACGAATTCCGAAGTATTTCTTAGAAGCTGTTTACGGTATCACTATTGACACCTTGCCTGTTGAGGAGGGAGGAACGGGAATACCAAATGCTCATGAGGTCTTGAATGCTTTTGCCAGAGCGAGGGGATTCATGACGCAAGGATATGGTTCAGCTGATGAAAGTCGCGCAGCAAGATACATTCTTAAAGATTATGCCTCAGGGAAGCTCTTATTTGTTGAACCTCCCCCAAATGAAGATGGTTCGAGAAAGGATGATGAAAGTTCACGAAAATTCAACGAAGGTTTATACACTGTTCACAATTTGCCCGAGCAAAGAAGACAACAAATACTGAATGCCATGAAAGATAAGAACATTGATTTTCAAGATTTTAATTTGGCCACAGATCTGCACAAATTAACGTTCTCTTCACACCTGTCTGTTAATGATGCACTAACTGGGAACAAGCATGCTCGTACTCATGGTGGTAAGCAAGCTGCTTTGTTCAGCTCTGCTGCCGAACTCGACAATGAATTTTTCAAAATGAATGAGGTGAAAGGAAGTTTTCAGTCACCATTTCACACCAAGGAAGAAAGTCTCAGAGGCAATAAAAAACACCACAAGGTAAACAAAAAAAAGGCGAAGAAACTTCGAAAAGCGACAGTCGCTGCGTAACATCGTCTGTATCAATACTTAAAAAACTATCTATAGAGAACTAATTTATTGAAATGCACTGTCGCCCAGCCTTTCTTCGATAATATCAATCTCACGTTGCAAATCCTCCAAATTAGCTTCGAGTGATATGAGATCATCAAATTTCTTTCGTTTTTTATAGTCGTTGTACAGGTTTTGCACCATGAACTTTTGCTCATTTAATACCATCAATTTTTCTCTGTATTCCCTGATTTCTTTCTTGAGCAACCTAGGTCTGTGACTGTTAGCACCGGTTTGCTGTTCGAGTTCAGTTTGCTCTTTTTTCAATTTCTCTTGTTGTGCTCTGCGCAACCCAGGAAGATTGTCTTGTAAAAACATCACAATATGAAGTTTCAAGGCTTTGTATAGCTTCACTTCGTCAGGCTTGACCGACACCAATCCTTGCTTTGATTGATTTTGCTCCAGAACGTATTCCAAAGAATTTACTATATTGGACACTAGCTTTCCAATCTTCTCCATGCGTCCCAATAAGTCAATATTTCTTAGCTCAACTGCCTTATCCGAAGACTGTGTGCTCTTTTCAAATTTGTCTTCTAAAGCCTTTACTTGCCTATAGTATTGCAATAGTTCAGCTTGTGAGTCAGAGTACACATTTTGGAGGTATATCCTTTTGTTGAACAACTTTTGTTTGCAATTCAAGCACATGCGAATTGACCAACGTGAGTCTTGCAGCTTTTCCAACTTGACTTCTTGATCGATATTCATAATGTCAACAACTATATTTGCTGGTACGTCCATAGAGCATCCTCGTGAAATATCTCCACAAACAACTTGTCCGCAAATCCTGCAATGATGTTTGCGATTCCAGAAATTGAATTCTGTTTTGCAGATGCTGCAATTGTCAACCCCGGCATCATCCACCCAGTCAGCAAGATTTCGTTCGATCGACCGCAAAGACCGCGCTGGAATGTTGTTTTTCTCAATATCTTTGAGAACACCCACTAATTTGATGCATCTATTTTCTAAAGCCACCGTCTCTAACTTCACAGAATTAAGCTTTTTCGAACGAATGTTTTTCAGGTTTGAAGTTTTATCAGTGAAAAAAGCGCAGTTCTCCGTTTTCGCCAAGTCCCATCCTGCCTTGTAGCTGAAGAAACATTCTTGACAGCACCGACTCCAGTAACCATTCAAGGGATCTGATTGTAGACTAGAATTGAGCTTAATGTGAAACCTAGAATGATAACCGCAAAACAGTCTTCCACACTTTCGACAGTTCACCATACCATTTTTTCCATTCAACCTTTTAGCACACGAGTTATAGCAGCATATATCAGATCCAGAAGGCTTTTGCCAATGATTTCGTGTTATAACTGAGGAGTTTTCAAAAGCTAATTTTTGTGTCTCATCGTCACTATTACCGTCATTGAGACAAGAATCCTGAGTAGCAGCACGTAATTGCTTAGGAGGATTTTGGTATAAGGATTTTCCTACAACATCATCAGCTTTTGTTGCAAGTGTTTTTTTGAACCATTGTTTGAAATCCAATTCGATCTGTAGATTTGTTTCTGAAGAGCCAAATGAGGAAACCGCATGTTCGTCATCAAGATGTCTATTCAGCTGATTAACCGTAACCATAGACTCTGTGCAAATGGGACACTCCAGGATATCAGGGCCAGCCAAAGATGAAGAATGTAAAGAGGATTGAGAAGAGGACAAAGACGACGGGTTTAGCTCATCCATAGAAGCGTTCCCATTGAGCCCTGTATCGGAGGCACCTAAAATTCGTCTTTTAGACATTTCAAGCTGTTAGGATAACAGATTTGATATCATCCTTCACGAAATCTGGGACGCAAATTATTTTCGATCGTAAGTTCAGTTTTTTTTTTTTTAAAGTGCAGGCAATATAATAAAATAGAGAGGTCTTGACAGGCGGCACAAAGCGCTTGGTCCCAGTCAATGTCCTTACAACCAGTGTATTTAATTTGGCATTTAATACAATCAATCATCAAGAAGTGAACAAGTAAGTAAGTGATGGCAAATAACAGTCGTAATCATTCAGCTTTATTATAGTCTGAGCGCGTTCAAAGACGAGACATTTAGTTAATGGCTGGGTCCAAGAGCTCTTCAGCCGAATAAGGCACAAAAGAGTCGAGATCAAAATCTAGTTGATCCCTTTTCCATGCAGGTACCAAAGCGTCAATCAAAGCAGGATTGACACTCAGTTCTCTCTTTGAGAAGTCAAATAGATCGGGAATTAGCAGCTCACGATCCACTTTGTAGTTCCTGAAATTGGGGAATTTGATTTCTGGTTGTGCTCTAAACTCGTCGAAAAATTTGCAGGTCAGCGCTTCAGCAGCTCCAATTCTCAAAATTGGAGAGTAATTCAACACCAATTGCAACAGTTCTAAACATTCTGGTTCCACGTTTTTGAATATCTTCTGTAATGGTATAGGTTTTATCGATGGGAATTTATGGTCCATGTAGTTAGGATTCATGGACTTAATCTCATCCTTAGTTGGTGTGCCTAGAATTTTGATAATCTCAACAAGCTGATCAATTCCGGACTCTCCTGGGAACAATGGCTGTCCCAAAATAAGTTCCGCTATCACACAGCCTGCAGACCATAAATCAATTTTGGTGGTGTAATTCCGGGCTCCAAATATAAGCTCTGGGGCTCTATAATATCTGGAACATATATAGGAAACGTTGGGTTCTGCAGGATTCAAAACCTTCGCTGAGCCAAAATCACACAATTTAAGTATTCCGTTGAGTGGGTCAATTAACAGATTTTGAGGTTTGATATCCCTGTGACAAATTCCTAAGGAGTGAATGTATAACAAAGAGCGAAAAAGTTGGTAAGAGTATAGTTTTACCTCAAGCATTGGCATGGTCCTTTGTCTGGAAGTATACCAGTGACATGATTTGTACAACGTCTCCGGAATGTACTCCAAAATCAAATGAAGATATTGCTCGTCTTTATCATTGGTCTTGTAGAAAAAGGAAAGCAACTTGACGATATTCTTGTGATTTATGAGCCTCATTATTTCAAGTTCTCTGTTTTTGTAACGTTTATCTTGCAGAACTCGCTTGATTGCTGCCTTACTGTTGTCATGTAATAGTGTTATCTGGTAAACGTAACCAAACGATCCGTGTCCCACCATAGATTTTTGAGCATATTCGATATTTGACAAGGCCCCCGTATGTCCATCTCTCACCTCTACAGCGATCACCTGCTGTCCAGCGGTTTTGTTAGAAGGATTTAAATCGTTCATTGTACTACAATCGATGTCTCATCCACCTAAGGTTTTCCCAAAGTCGCTAATCTGTAGATTAAGGGCTTTCCGCGACAACAAACAAATTGTACAAGCGTCGAATTTAAAAACAAAAAAAGTGTTCGTTTTAACAAAATCGTACCGAATTATTATTTCTGAGAAAAAAATGGGGAAAATCCCAATCTGTATCCTGGAAAAAGAAATACACCTCACACCATGAAAGAGAGCAACGTCCTTAAAGCTAACGGATGACAAGTGTTATTGCGTAAGCTGGGAAAGCTGAGAAGCTCAATTCCCTCATTTACTTTTCCCACCGGCTAATTCGAAGGCTTTCTATTGGTATGTCGAATAGTAAATTAAGACACGAACTTTAAAGGTTCTTCACGATGACATAAGCAACATTCTTCCCGCTGAAAGAACTCTTTCTTTATGGAGAAGAAAGTGGGGATAATAAGATAGCTGCAAAATCATTACCGGGTAACCATGACAAAGAATAAGTTTCACCTGTGCAGAGATGCTTTGGATAAAATTTTCAAACTAAAATTTTTTTAAGACTTTAAGAATTCTTCATAAAGGCGAGCTTATCACGACCACGTTGCAAGGAACCTTTATTCAACATGTCTACTAGCCCAAACCCCAAAGCATTTCCACTAGCCGATTCTAGTCTCACCCAACAAATTCTTGATGTGGTACAACAAGCTCAAAATCTCAGACAACTTAAGAAGGGAGCTAACGAGACAACCAAGACTTTGAACAGAGGTATTTCGGAATTCATCATCATGGCCGCAGATACCGAGCCTATTGAGATTCTGTTGCATTTGCCACTTCTTTGCGAGGATAAGAATGTTCCATACGTTTTTGTTCCCTCAAAAACTGCTCTTGGTAGGGCCTGCGGTGTTTCTAGACCAGTAATTGCTGCTTCGATTACAACCAACGATGCTTCTGCCATCAAAAATCAAATCTATGCCATCAAGGATAAGATTGAAACCTTGTTAATCTGAGTTCTTAATAGATCTATCTTTTTACTGAAATATTAATCTTCAATTATAGAATGAAAACAAGTAAGTTGGTATTGTACATGGTATCGACAACAAAGACCCTGCAATGTCATAAGTATGAATATTTAGAACTCTTTTGATTCCCGTCAACATAGTTTTCAATAGAATCAAACGGTTGAGTCAGAACATCATTACCAGAATCAGAACCGATGTCTGACATACTTTTGAAGCTTTCGTCACGCATGAATGTCGAAACCGGAGTCTGGAAGCCTTGATTTCCCGACTGCATCATCGGAGTATTTGATTCTGATCTAGCATGTGTTGGGATTTGCTGATCCACAGTGGCTTTTGGTAATGGATGATCAAAAACTTCGGGCAACTCTGTATTTTGATCACTAGTTTTCTGAGATTTGTTGCGACGAAGGAGGGACTTACCACCAGTGAGCTTGTGCATAAGTTTAGCTCCAAAAGAAGCTTCTTCTTCCTGTGTGAGTTCCAACGGTTTGTCTAGATCACTCTGTGACTTCCTGTCAGAGGACAGACCGACGTCAGAGGAATCCACCATGGCCTTCAGCTTGTACATTTCATTAGCCCAATTCTCTTGATGATCCTTAGCCACCTGTCCAAGCTCAAACAGCTCCTGTGCACCATCGGGAACATCATCACTGATCTGCTTCTTTTGGAAAGATGTTCTGTCATCTTTGGCTGGAGAAAATCGAGCATCTGGATTTTTGGAGAAGATCGCGATGCACGAATAGACGATAATCAAAACCAGGAGCAAAAATGAGAAAACTGCGTTCAGCACGAAAAAAACCAATCCCATGATTGATCCAACAGCACTTGGTTGACCAAACAACTCCGAAAAAAACAAGAAAAAGAACGAGTTAATGGTGTTAACAACGCTCATCAGAATGTTGACGATATTGGTGGCTTTATCCAGAAATGGCCTCACTTTAATCAAAGCAATGGTGTATGCCAAATCTAACAAAAACACAACAAGAGCTTGTGTTTTGCCCGACTTCTGAGCAAGGGAAACAAATAACGCTTTCACAAAAAGGTAGCTCAAAAACACAGCACCCCAGTAGAACTTTTTCGCGTCGAACATTGTGTAGAAGAACCCATACCTGTTGAGGACATCCGGATTTCCATACAGAATGGCAGCAGCATTATTGTGAGTTTCAACAGATACAGCTCCAAACATTAATGTTCTGTAACAGACCCACCCCATAATCCCCAAGCATAAAAGCAAAAAGATGACGGCAAGGACGACCACTGCGGCCGAGTCGACAACGGTGAATTCCCATAAAGATAGAATGACTAGTTGGGGAAATCCGATATAAATATATCTTTGCAAAATACCCTTTAAAATAACCTTCCAGTTTCTGCTCAGATCAATGGTTCTGGACCAGCCTCTTTTTCTTCCAAATGACATTATTGTTTTCCCAATCATAAACAATCCAATCAATACATATAGGAATAGAACAAAAAATGTGAATCCCGTGCACACAATAGAAGTGGGCTCGATGTTTGCCTTATACCCAACTCTTTCCACGCCTCTCAATATCTTTAGGTACTGATCACCTTGCAAGTTGTACAGATCGTTTGATCTAGCTTCCAAATCCTGGTAGTAGTCCGTTGGGATTGGAGCCAATGAAGGCATAAAATAAGACACAAGTGAATAAAACGGAATGATCTTGGTTGCAATTTTCTTACTTTCGTTCAGGGATCTCTGGACAAGGACTGAAATTGACGACGAGGTCAAATATTGCGTAGGAGTTCCGCCCGTTGCCTGAACATACCATCTGAATATTTGCTGCATGAAGGTCACTCTGATCAAGCCCATCGACCAGGCGATGTTTTCTGCCCAAGCACTGACAATTGGCGGAACCTCTTGAACGTGCAACATGCAAAGAATGACTGTACTTTGAAAAAAAGAGAACAAAGACACAGCATTTGCAGAGATAATGGAAGCAGAAGCAGAGTTTCCGAAAACTGATAAAACTGCTGAGACAAGGAGGCCGATTCCGGATATAATAGCGGTAGCCCATTTGGCACCCACGTGAGCGACGGTCTTCTTATTCGAAAAGCTAGCTTGGATACATCCAACCTGGGTATCGTTACTGTCGAGAATAATCACCCGAACAAGAGCGTCGATATCAGGAAATGTGTAGGCAATTTTCGGGACCATATTGGTGAAATCACTAGAAAGATATTGAATCGAGTTAACTTCCAACGAACCGGGATACATTGGGCAAAACTGTTTCCATCCAATAGAGCAAAAATCAACGTTCCTTTCAACAACTTGGATGCCGTAAGCGTACGCCATGACCTTGGCATAGACTTCACCAGATATTTCGGAGGTTAAGGATATATCGTACTTGACAGATCCTCCGTCATCATCTGCGGTGAAAACCACATTGAAATAAGTTGGCTCTATTTGTGAGTTTTCCATACATGTGACCAGAGAATTTGCAAAAAGCTCGCGTTTTCCCTCGGTTAACAGAGGGAATGTAAGCCAAAATCCTAGAAGTAGGGTTTTTTCAATAAACAACATACTGATCAAAAAATAGTACCTTGTTATTTGAAGGAATGCCAGTTGCCGAAATGCGTAGTAGAGTTGGTGGACTAGTTGGTAAGCGCAGCAGGTAGTGAAATTATAATGTTCCTATAGTAGTCGCAAGTAAAGATCGTTCCTTTGTCTGAATCAAATTCCGTCTGTTTATTTGCTGAGATAAAAGCCAACTTGGAAAATTCTGCAATATCCCAGTGATTCAGGAGTATATAATGAAGCAATAAAAGGATTCGTGGTCACCACTTCTTTCAAATAAACTCGAGAAATGAAAGATCAAGATCGAAAACAAGCTATTGATTCAAATGCCAGAGTACAGAATTTTTGGCTTATTGAAAAAACTATGTGGCTAGTGAAAACGACGACAATTATTGAACACGCTAGGTGACGCAACCGCGTTTTTTTTTAAATAAAGATGCCTATCGTGGCGCAGTACCATGAAGAAGCATATATAAATTAAATAGCCAAGAAGCATGACCTACATCAAACATTTTACAGCATACAACAAAGACAGCTATGATATAAATATAACGTTGATGAACTTACAGGCTTACTTTGCCTTGACAACTTCAATAAGATGTGAAACAACTTGTGGATTGCTTAGGGTAGAAGTGTCTCCAAGTTGATCTTCCTCACCGGACAGAATTTTCCTCAGGATTCTTCTCATGATCTTGCCTGATCTTGTTTTCGGCAGGTCATTAACCAGGAGAATTAATTTTGGAGCCGCAAAAGGTCCAATTTCTTTTCTCACTGTTAAAATGAGTTCCTTCTTAATTGCCGATGGATCCTCGATGGACCTGTTCTTCAGAGACACAAATGCAGCAACCGCGGATCCAGTAAGTTCGTCTGGGAAGCCGACTACCGCAGATTCTGCAACCATTGAATGCTCAATCAAAGCAGCCTCAATTTCTGCAGTAGACAGTCTGTGACCAGACACATTAACGACATCGTCAACACGACCTAAAATCCAGTAGAAGCCGTCTTTGTCTCTGGCTGCTCCGTCGCCTGAGAAGTAATAACCATGGTAAGGACGTAAATACGTATCCAAAAATCGGCCGTAGTCCCTCCAGATGGTTCTTGCCATCGATGGCCAAGATGACCTGATTGCTAGCACACCCTCAACCTCGTTTCCTTCAAGCTCCTTTCCACTCACAGGATCTATGATCGCTGGATCAATTCCGAAGAATGGGAGCGAAGCAGATCCTGGCTTGGTTGGCGTGACTCCTGCTAAAGGAGTAATCAAGTGAGAACCCGATTCAGTCTGCCAATAAGTGTCACAAATGTGGGCCTTTCCACGTCCTATGTGCGCATTATACCACTCCCAAACATCTTTCGCAATTGGCTCTCCAACAGAGCCTAAAACTCTCAAGGATTGGAGTGAGTAAGGCTCAATGTAGGATTCACCAGCCCTTTTGAGGAGTCTCAAAGCAGTGGGAGCGACATAGAACTGGGTAACCTTGTACTTGTCGACAATCTCCCAGTACCTTGAATAGTTTGGATAAGCGGGGGTGCCCTCAAACACAACCGTGGTAGCACCATTCAAGAGAGGTCCGTAAACAACATAGCTGTGACCTGTAATCCATCCAACATCACCAGCTGTAAATAATATGTCATCTGGGTGGACATCAAACACATACTTGGTGGTAAGCAATGCGCCAAGAAGATATCCGGCCGTCGAGTGCTGTATTCCTTTAGGCTTGCCAGTAGAGCCTGAAGTATAGAGAAGAAATAGAGTGTCCTCTGCAGAGACTGGGGTAGCAGGGTAATACGATGGGTATTTCTTAACTTCTTCGTGCCACCACAGGTCCCTTCCTTCAGTCCAAGGGATGTGCGAATTACCCGTACGCTTGTAAACAAGAACGTTTGTCACTTGGGGACAAGCAAGGAGGGCATCGTCAACTATTTTTTTTGTTTCAATAATTTTTCCCCCTCTCTTGGACTCGTCGGTAGTTATGACGACTTTTGAGTTCGCATCATTAATTCTGTCTCTTAGGGATCCAGAACTGAAACCAGCAAAGACAACAGAATGAATAGCCCCAATTCTAATGATGGCCATCAACGTGACGATCGCTTCAGGAATCATGGGCAAATACACAGCCACAGTATCCCCTTTTTTGACCCCCAGGTTAAGCAGCACCTGAGAAACTTTACAAACTTGTTTCAGTAGCTCGCCGTAAGTAATAATTTGTCCTTGATCGGGCTCATCTGCTTCATAGATGATAGCAGGTTTGTCTGGGTTTTTGATGGCCCACCGGTCAACGCAATTGTAACAGGCATTAAGTTCTCCATCGACAAACCATGCCGATGGTTCTCCATTGTTGTCTTTCAAAAACGGAGCATTGGGAACTTTCGGGACAGTGAAGGGTTTAAACCAGGAAAGATGTTGTTCGGCCATTCCACCGAAGAAAGAGCCGGGGTCACGAATCGATTCTTCATACATATTTTTGTATTCATCCAACGAGCTCAAATATGGCTTCGATGGATGTCTCTCCAAGAATCCTGCTGGAGGCTCAAGAGCTCTTTCTCTCATCAAGTGTTCGTTTTCCAAATGCTTTTCCGGCATTTTGTTAAAATCAGTCAGAGAATTGTGAAATGCAATTCGTTATATATATAATTCAGGATATTGAGGTGGGAAACGCAATGTTGCAGAATCTGACCCCATATGCTAACATAGAAAATGCCCTTTTTGCGAACCCTGTCACCGTCCACGCGAAATTTGCACCCTCCCCCGAAAAGGAGGGGACACTGAGGGGAAGAAAAATACCAAATGTGTTATTAAAATGTCCCCGCAATTGCAGTGATTAGGCACAATTTGCCTAATTGAGGGGACACGGCTGGAGGGAGTTTTGGGACGCCGGTCCGAGTGCAAGCCCGTTTTCCCATTTATCTACAGCAATTGTGGGGTTTGCAACCACCTATGAAAAACATCCTTACATTCGAGTTTTGGGTAATTTTTCTGATTACGTAAGAAACAAAACCAAATTTCAAGGCGCAGTCAAATTGTGTTTACAGTTGTAAATTTTGAGGCAGCATATTTTTAGAAACACCGTATAACCTTGGATCAGAAAATATTGTCCTTGATCTTGAAATTGAAATAGTGTTCCTGCGTTGGTATCATTATTTTAGCTCGCTGAAGCCAACTCGCTGATTAGATAAAGGACTCACAGCTGCTGAGTGCTCGCTTCCGTGCTCATCAAAAACTCATCTTTATTGCTTCTCAAGGTGCTTTATAGCTTCGTTTGTGCCGAGTAGGCAAATCTATTATTTACCATGAAACTCACTCCTTTCTTCACTTTCTCAATATGGTTTCTCATCCAAGGCCTCATAGTTGAGGCCGGAAACAATGATATGAAAAAGTACATAAAATCGTCATCGTTGCTGACATGTATGGAAAACTCAGAATTTAGTTCCAGCTATTTTGATGTCACCTTTTACCCTGACAACAGCACCGTTGTCATCGACATCGATGGAAATTCCCTTATCAGTGGATACGTTACCGCAGACTTGTCGCTTGTGGTTTACGGTTTGAACGTCTACTCTACCACAGTGGACTTATGTTCTTTGGACTACGCAACACTGTGTCCAATATCCTCAGGAAGACTGAGTATCAGTGGATACAGTTACAAAATTACAAGTGACATGATAAACAAAATTCCGAGTATTGCTTACACCATTCCAGACCTGGACGCCTACGTCAAGGTTGTGGCGTACTCCACCAATGACACTTCCAAGGACTCCCCGTTAGCATGTGTGAAAGCCGTTTTGAGTAATGGAAAGACCGTGCAAACAAGATACGCCGGATGGCCCATAGCTATCATTTCCGGGTTTGGTCTGGTTGTTTCCTCATTTGTTTCGATTCTTGGGCATTCCGCTACGGCTGCACACATTGCCTCTAATGCAGCGTCGTTATTCATTTACTTCCAAAACCTTGCTATTATGTCCATGATGGGTGTGGCTTTAGTGCCCCCTATCGCTGCCTCTTGGGCTCAAAACTTCATGTGGTCGTTGGGTATCATAAAGGTCAAATTCATGCAAAACATCATCTACTGGTATGTGCAAGCAACTGGCGGAAGTGTTACATCGATTTTGCGCAGTAAATCAGTTATTTCGATCTCTGTCCAGAAAATGCTCAAACATCTCAAACTTGTCAAGCGACTGAGTGTCGAAAGCTCGGATTCTATGTCCGACGTTTTGGACGACTCTGACCTTTACACGACAGACGAATTCGACGTGGGTTCCAAGACGTTGATTTTGAGGGGAGTCCAAAGAGTGGCATATTTGTCAGGCATTGAAATATCGAACTTCTTCATGACTGGTGTGATCTTTTTCCTTTTTGTTGGATTCGTGTTACTTGTTCTTACATCTCTGTTTAAGGGGATTTGCGAACTCATGGCAAGGACCGGCACTATCAAGGGCGACAAGCTGATAGGTTTCAGAAAGAATTACAGATCAGTCATTAAGGGATGTCTGTACCGACTTTACAACATTACGTTCCCAGCATTGACATTGCTGTGTATTTGGGAGTTCACTAGAGTTGATTCTGCCGGATGCGTCGTTTTTGCTGTTGCGATATTGGCCATATTCTTGATTTTGATGGTATATGCAGCTGTTATGATATTGATCTCTGGCTCAAGATCAACAAGGAAGTTCAAAAACCCGGCGTATCTGCTGTTTGGAGACGAAAAGATTCTGAACAAATTTGGATTTCTGTACGCTCAGTACAAGGCTAACAATTATTACTGGGTTGCTGTCCATCTAGTTTATCTGTTTGTGAGGGCTTTATTCATTGCGGTGTTACAGAACCACGGGAAAGCCGTTGCTGTTATTATCTTTGCGATGGAACTTTTCTACTGCATTGGCTTGATAGTCAAGAGGCCATTCATGGACAAAAGAACCAATATTTTCAACATTTTCATTGCCGTGATCAACGTGATCAATTCTATATTCTACCTGTTTTTTTCGAACATTTTCAAACAACCTGCTGCCGTTTCCTCTGTCGCTGCTGTTGTCTATTTCATTTTGAATGCTATTTTCGCTGCAATTCTTTTGATTTTCACGATTGTCACATGTACATTGGCTCTCATAAGGAAAAATCCAGATACTAGGTATGAGCCTATCAAGGATGACAGGCTTGCCTTCATACCAAATGAAAGAGGCGAAGGAGGCAAAGTCGAATATGAGTTGGCTGCTCTTGGAGCCACAGCCATGAGAGGCCATGATAGAAATTCGTACCTTATTGAGAACCTATCAGGGAGCAATGCGGGACTAGCACCAAGCCCAGAGCAGAAAATGAGCGATAGTACCAGCGGTAGCAGCGTGAATCCGTTTTCTAACGCACATGAAGACGAGAATAGCAGAAACTCTTTTATATTCAAAGCGGCCGCTAACAACTCTGCCCACTCCTCTATGGCTCAAACTAAAAACGAAGGAGGCAACTTCAACATGGATGCCGGGCAAGGTTATACAAACTATCGCCGAAGAGATCTTCTTTAGATATTTTTTTTGTAACTATATAAAAATCAGATTAGCTAGCTAATTCTTGACATAGTCTGGCTCTAGAGATTTGAACCAGAATGATTGGTCCAAAACAGACTTCTCCACAGCATATTTGACAGCAGGGTCAGAAAGATCACCTCTGATAGTGAAACCGTGAGAAGTGCCACTGTAAATATCAATCTGATGTCTGATATGATTCTTGCGCAGAGTCTCGATAGTCTTGTTCCTCATTTCATCGGAAAACAGCTCATCTCTTTCTGCCAAACTGAGGAGCAAAGGCTTTGCAAGATTTTCGAGGTCAGACTCCTCAGTGAGGCTAGGGTGAGCCATGGCACAGACGTTTGGAATACTGTCCTTGGTTGCATTCTGGAAAACTAGCTTAGCTCCATAACAGTAGCCCATGGTACACAGGTAAGCTGGGTCATATGTTTTTTTCAAGTACTCCAGAAAGGCTTTGGCAATTGGACCCGACTGAGCAGGTGAGTGTCTACCTAGCCACTCACCTATATTAGTTTTGTTAGCAACAGCTGGGTCCTCGTCAAAAAGATCTGGAACCAGGACTTGGTAACCCAAATTATCCGCAAACTTGTCAGCAATCAAGTCAACATTGTTGGTCCTGTAGCCATAAATGTCGGTAAAAATGACGAGGATTCTCTTGGTGTCGTTTCCAGATTTGTAGACACTGAAGTCACCTAACTTCACGAACTCCCCCTTGGTTTCACCCTCTAGAAGTGTTAGTTAATGGCAATAAGACTAATTGAGAAACTTACCATGAAATGAGGTTTTAATACAGCACGGACTCAACCCAGACATTTTGACAAGCTAGTTTATAAAGCAAACGCACAAAAAATAAGTATTTAAATTTGCGTCTCTGACCGTTTTTTTATATCGTTTGCGGAATTGATCCGCTCCAGAATTTTCTTTAACTCCGGAAATCGCACTGGAGTTATGGATTCGTCAGCAGCGACCGAATGGGGTTCTGTCGGCGATTCTGAGATAGATCTGCTGCTCAAAGAGCACGAAAATAGGAAGAACTCGGAGCTGAATGTCAATACTGAGAATAAAGTCCAGATCGCCTCTTCTCAGCCTGAATCAGTGGATGCAACTCAACAGGACGTGAAGCTCGAATCTGCGTCACAGGACTGGGGGTCTATGGACGACTCGGAGTTCATATCTTTTGTGAACAAACTTAGTCAAAACCACGGTCTCCATCAGCCGGTTATTACCTCACAGACTTCAAGTGATCAAGAGAGAAACGCGGAGGAGGACGAGAATGTTGATGGCGACAAAAATGAGGCGGAACCTGGTGATCTGATTATCAATGACATAAACTCTCTAGACCCAGAGGAAGTCGATCCAGGAAGTCAGGAATTAGAATTTGGCGATTACGAAAAGTATTTTCGTCACAAAACTTTAAAGCAGCAGCAGCAAGACCAAGAATACGTCGAGTTCACGAGGAAAGCACGGAATTTGGACTACCCTCCTATTTTCCAAAATTGTGTTATATACGTGAACGGGAAGACGGACCCTGACGTACGGCAGTTGCACAAACTTATAATTCTTCACAGTGGAAAGTTCATTCACATGCTTGGGGCAAAAGGTAATGCTACTCATATAATAGCCGAAAACCTGACACCTCAGAAGAAATTGGAGTTTAGGAATTATAAGGTGGTGACTCCAAAATGGATAGTCGACAGTGTGGAAGCTAAAAAGCTCCAGCCATGGGGAGACTATATGCTTATTCACAACGACTACGGTCAACGCAGACTGGATTTCAAGATCGAGACCACCAAGGAGCAGGATGATCCGGAGATCTCCCAGTTATCGCAAGTGACAGAGCCAGATGATAACCTACATAAAAGAGAGGATATAGACATGCCTGACCATATGAATTGCAAGCATCCGAATTTCTTGCCGAATTTTTTTGCAAATTCCAGGCTGCACCATTTGAGTTCATGGAAAGCAGATCTGAAGTCACGTTTCTTGCAGCGCGCTATCAGCACACTTCAAAGCCGCGGTCATAATTCCCGGCCAGCTGACAAGAACGTCATTTTGCATGTCGATTTCGATTGTTTCTTTGCAACAGTTTCCGCCTTGACTTGCAACCCTCCAATAGATATTAACGAGGTCCCCGTTTGCGTCACTCATGGAGGCAACACCTCAGACATTGCGTCTTGTAACTATGTTGCCCGACAATATGGCTGCAAGAACGGCATGTGGCTGCGTTCTGCGAGAAGGCTGTGTCCAAACCTCGTTTGTCTCGACTACAATTTTGATGAGTATGAACGGATTTCCAACATTTTCTATGAAATTCTACTCTCTTACGACATTGATTCGGTTTTGCCAGTTTCGGTAGACGAGGCTCTAGTTGACATATCGAGTATGAGTGCTTCGCAGCATCCACTGGAGATAATGAAAGATATTAAGAAGAAAGTCTACAATGCTACCAAATGTTCTGTTAGTTGTGGCAGTGGATCTAACGTTTTGCTAGCCAGACTGGCTCTCAGGAGGGCCAAACCGGATGGCGCATTTCACGTCGAAGAAGCTCATGTCACCGACTTTCTAGATACTATCAAATTCTCTGAATTACCGGGTATAGGACCTCAAATCTGCTCAAAGCTGGAGAATGAGATGCAAAAGACTGTATTGATGGTAAAGGACATTCGCAAAATACCCAAGGATAAACTGGCTTCTATATTCGGGCCCAAGACTGGTGCCACAATCTACAATTATGCTCGAGGATTGGATGATACTTGCATCGATATTCTCAAAAACCCAGAAGCTTTCCAAAGAAAATCGATCTCAATTGACGTCAATTGGGGAATAAGGTTTGACAAAGACGTGGAGGTGGAGAAATTTCTCAGCGATCTAGCCAAGGAGTTGAGTAAAAGACTTGCAAATGCCAAAATGGTGGGCTCCTCGGTCACACTAAAATTAGCTACTCGACACCCTGACGCTCCTATTGATCCACCAAAATACCTCGGAATGGGTGAATGCGAGTTTGTGTCTAAGACTTCGAGACTTGGACATTTTACGCGTGAAGCTGGCGCTCTCGGAAACGAGTTACGATATCTATACCGAATGCTTAATGTTGCAGTGAAGGAGTTGCGAGGAGTCTCAATTTCAATGAATAGACTGTCTTTCGAGACCAAGAAAAACGTCCATGGGCTGGATGCTGATCAAAGGTTGCTACCTCTAAATCCGACTGCCAAAACTCTCGACCCGATTCCTGCTGCAAAATCGCTACCTGAGAGCACTCCCGAAAGGAAAGCCAATACGAAGGAATACAGGATCCCGGAAAACGAAATCAACTGGGAAGTCTTCAATGAGCTACCAACAGAAATACAAGACGAACTGAGACATGAGCTGGGAAGAAGACATTTGTCAATCACCGGTTCCTTATACCGCTCTCCAAAGAAAAGGAAAAAAGACTTTTTCAATGACTTTAAATCTCCAACCAAGAGAAAGCTTGTCATGGACAAGGTTCTGGTAGATTCAAATTATGTGGAAGCCAAATCACGGCTTTCCTTTCAGAAAATACCCATCACCCGATTTCAAGAAGTTTTGGACAAATTGAAGTTGTGGTTCGACTACACGATACGAAGCGATGGTCCTCACGAGATGGATCTCGATTTATTTAATGAGTTTATGTTTAGCTTGTTCGAGATTGGAGAAATGACAAAATACGATTCCATTGTGCGACTGTTCGAGGAAAAACTCATTTTCTCCAAATCTCATCCGGCATACGAAGAGTGGAAACGCATAACCACCGAGCTACGGACAATGCTCAATGAAGTTAAGTATGATGATTTAGAATTCAATTACTAGCTCTTCACAATCAACTCCGGAGCCCTAGTGGCCCATTCGGTCCAGGAACCATCGTAAACGGCCATCCTTGCCGCATCAAAACCAGCCAAGATCAATCCAAATCTGACAACGCAGGCTGTGACTCCGGAGCCGCACATAACAATAATAGGTTTCGACTGGTCAAGCCCTGCGGCCGTAGCGCGTTCCAAAATTTCGCTGGCGGATTTAAATTTCTTATCAGAGGTCAGAAAATCGGTAAAAGGAATATTGATTGCATTTTTGATGTGTCCCGATGATAAGCCTGGTCGGATTTCTGGAGCTTCGCCTTTGAACCTTGGACCAGATCTTGCATCGACAACGTTGTAGTCTTTTCCTATCTTGTCTGACAAAACAAGCTCCTTCAGCTCCTCAAATAAAACTACTTTGGATTTATCAAACGTAGCCTTGTATTCTGATTCTGGTAATTGGGATGCAGAATCAATTGGTTGATCTGTGGAGACGTCTGATTGGGCAAAAGTGTCAAGCAAGTAGATTTTTTCCAAATTGTGGCCAAAAATCTCAAACATCCACGAAGCTCTGCACGAGCTATAGACGTCACTCCTATCGTAAATCAATAACGGAGAATCATTTCGGATGCCCAATTTGCTGACCTGGGACTCAAACTGCGATTTCGACGGAAGCATGTGGGGAAATGGGCTTGAGTGGTCGCTGATGTCGTCGATATCGAAGAAAACAGTCTTATTGGTGAGGCGATGTTTTGTGAACTCTGCAAATGCATCTCTAGGATCATTGGGGAAATACCAGGTGGAATCGATCGTGATTGCCGATGGATTGGATTTCAGGAATTTCCCAGCAGAATTGCCCACGATAGTACTCAGCATTCTATAGTTGTTCTTGAAAAACAAGGATTTCTTCATTGGCAGTATAAGATAAGTTGTTTCCAAAAATAAGCCCTGGAAGAAAAAAAAAACACACTAATCTCTTTCAATTATAAACAAGTCTTCGATGGATTGAAATGCCGCAAGCTGACGACGAAGATTTTGACACAGTTCTGACCGGCCAGATTGGTCTTGGGAATCTGGACAACATGTTCGACGGTTCTACCGAACACGCTGCGGACGCTGTTGATTTCGAGGACGAGGATGAGCTGGCTGAAGAAGAGGAAGAGTTGTCTAAAGAGGGGGCAGAAAAAGAGCCCGACAAGGAAGAAGAACCAGACGAAGACGATGATTTTATGAAAGAGCTCCAGCAAGAGGCGATGGAGGGCGTTGAGGACGACGAGGGAGAGAATCGCGGAGGGTCAATATTTGACAACAATGTGGCAAACATTGGACTGACAGATCTTGATTACGAGCATACGCAGGGTTTAGACGAACATGATGGGATGAGCTTTGCACATGGATCAGAAGATGAATACGATGCCGAGACCAGAAAGGCCTTGTCCGAGAAAAAACGGCTTGAGGCGAGACAAAAGTTGCTGAGGTTGTATTATCCAACGTTCAAGCGCGGCAAACCAATACGAATGCAAACTCTTTTCCCGATCATTCCGTTGCGATACAGTTACCAAGCTCCTCCGCCAATCAAGCGTCCATTGCTACCCACAAAGCTGACTTTCGAGTTCCAAACAGACACCAGAAAAACATTCAGGAATGCCACCAAAATGTCCACTGCACAAGAGTCCAAAACACAGCAAAGAATAATTGAAATCTCCGAAACAGATTTACAGAGCGTACAAGTAGAGCCTGAGAAACACGAGGTGGCCAAACAAACAATACAAGATTTTGGCGAGGACATTGCAATTGCAACAGCAGACTGGGACGACGATCAGATTATTGAAGGATACGAAATTGATATACCTGCCACCAAGCGACTCAAGCTTGACTGGGTGGATTCCGATGGGTGGGATGATGAAGAAGATGAGCTCATTTTTGAAGGATCATTGAATACCGAATTGTTGAACCTTAAGCTAGATCAGAATGATCCACATATGCTGTTCGCCAAAGAGAGAAGCCAAAAGGAAGAAGTGGCTGCCCGCAAAGCCATTTTGGCCAAGATTCCGTCGAACGAAAAGACTCTGGAATTGCGCTTCAAGATTTCCAACGACAAAGAATACGATCAACTAAGAAAGAGCTACCGAACTAAGGTGAGAGCCACAATCGGTAATATGAATATTGACCACTCGATGCCCGCCCTTAAGTTGCAGTTTCCCTACTATAAAGTCAGATTATCCGAGAAAGAGATGCGGTTCCCTCATAGACCGCAGTTTACTGTTCGTCCGAATACAATCATGGTTTTTTCTAAGGTGAAAACAAGAAAGAAAAAGAGAGATAAAGGGAAGGAACCACGCGAGATATTTAGAGAGTCTTCTGATTTGACATTAGGAGACTCTGCAAATTTCTTCATGTTGGAATACAGCGAGGAAAATCCCATCGTGCTCAATAACTTTGGTATGTGTTCTAAGCTGATCAACTACTACCGAAAACTCAATGATGACGATACAATGCGTCCCAAACTCCCTGTGGGAGAAACACACGTGTTAGGCTTACAGGATAGGTCTCCGTTCTGGAACTTTGGATACGTGGAGCCAGGACATATCGTGCCTACACTGTACAACAGAATGATCAGAGCACCTATTTTCAAGCACGATCCACTCAGCACCGATTTCCTACTGATAAGAAGCTCGGGAGGAGGGTCTTCACAGAGATATTTCCTTCGCCCAGTTAACTACGTCTTTACAGTTGGCCAGACGTTACCGGTGATGGAGGTTCCTGGACCTCACTCAAGAAAAGTGACGGCCACTTCCAAGAATAGACTCAAAATGGTTGTCTATCGTGTTTTGAATCGAAACGAGGAGCGCAGATTGCTGGTCAGAGATATTGCAGACCACTTCCCCGACCAAAACGACATGCAAAATCGTCAACGATTGAAAGAATTTATGGAATATCAGAGGAGCGGAAATGACCAAGGTTACTGGAAGGTCAAGCTCACAGATACCCTTCCGACTTACGAGGAGATTAGAAACATTGTTTCACCCGAGGATATTGCTTTGCTGGATGCTATGCAGGCCGGTAATCAGAGATTAGAGGATCTAGAGTCCTATAAACGAGAAAGGCTGGAAGATGGAACTCCAAATGCTAGTCTCACCATTCAATCACCTGCCAATGAGGCAGGATCGAAAAAAGAGCGCGATCTCATGGCAAACGATGGTCCTCTTTCCGTGCAGCTTGCACCGTGGAATATCACACGAAATTTTGTTGCTGCCACTCATGGCAAAGCCATGCTTCAGATATACGGTGAGGGAGACCCTTCAGGAAGAGGAGAGGCATTCTCGTTTTTGAGAACTTCCATGAAAGGAGGTTTCATTAAAAATGCGGCAAATCTGAGTGAAGAGATTGTGCTTCCTCCAAAGAACCCTGATAAAGAAGAGAAAAAGAGCAGCATCACGCACACATATAACGTGGCGATTCAGCAAAAAATATACGAGAAAGAAATTGCCAAGGTTTGGTTCAAACAATGGAAAGCTCTCAGCAAAACCAGAAATAGCGATAAACCTCGCCCAATTGATCCAAGTGAGCTGGACGACACACGAAACTTGAACCTAGCAAATGAAACTCTTAACCGGGAAGTGGGAGGAACAGAAAAGCCACGCTATCTCAAAATTGTGAGAATGGTCAAGGACTCATACGGAATCTTGCAGAGGCGCGTGGAAATTGTCAAAGATCCGAAAGTGGTGGAACTGTATGTTAAAAGACGACAACGAAAGCTCTTGGAGGATCCAATGGAACTTGACACCGACAACTTCCTCCTGACCAATGATGCAGAGGAAAATAAAAAAGTCAAAAAGAAGTTGGAGGAAGAGCTTGCTAAACTTCAAAGAATGCAAGAAAAGAGAAAGAAAAAGGGTCTTAATACGATCAATATCGATAGCGAGGGCCGCATCAGCGGCAAGGGTATCGGAAAAGGCAAGTCCACTAGCAGAAGATGCGCTACATGTGGTGCTTTGGGACACATCAGGACCAATAAAACTTGTCCGTTGTATTATACTGTCCACAACAAATCCAATCCTAACTACATTCCAGGAACGGAAGGAGCTGTTGACTTGTTGCAGAATGACAACGAAGCTACTCCGCAAAATGAAACGCAAGCTATATAATTACAGTCTTGCGCATGTTTATAGTAATTAGAATGCTGTGCATTAAAGTGTAAACCTGGACGTTTAAGTTCCAGTGCTACTTAATGGCTTGTGTTTGAAAAGCAAAACCTTGCACATGCCCAACCTGTATAATACCCACGTGAATCTCATTGTATCCCAATAATCAATATGATAGCACTTGCTCGGTCATCTCGATAATCCGCAGCAAGGTGAGCTTTGTTCTTTCAATAAGAAAAAAGCTCGTATTTATTAACAGCTTCCCTAAAGCATCCAAATCGGTCTTGATAAATTCCCAGCTCTCTACAGAGCCTTTTATGACGGAGTCGCACAACGAGCTCACAGAAAATGCTATAGTATGTGAGTTGAGCTTGCCTCTGCTGCATTCCGAGTGCATCACATCTTTGGAATTTACAACAAAATGGTGAATTCGAGTTGAGCTTTCCAGTTTGTTGGTATCTGCATTGGAAGCCAGTTCTTTCCATATCATAAATACAGCAAGACTCACCATTCCCACAGTCAATCCCAAGAATAGTCCGTGTCGGTGGGGTTTTGGGTATGACTTATTTTTATCTGTATCGCCCGTCTCTTTGTGTATGGATCTGTTTCCTAGCTGCTTTGCTGAGTTATCAAGCAGAATTGAGTTGACCTTATCCATGGAGAGATGCTGATTTGTCATAGAATAGTGTGCGACAGAAAGTTCGAGCACCTTGCTAAAGTCGCATCCAGATACTTGCAAGTTGGTCAGAAACTCAATGAATGGCATCAATTCATCCGTAATCGACTGCAGCCGAACTGGTTCGCATATCATCAAGTTCTTGGGAAACGCCTTTTTGAATAATGCTAAGTCAACATTGATTCCCGTTAGCAATGGAACGAACGGCTTGTCCACGATATCGGAAAGCAAATAGTTATCGTCTTTCACTACCACAATCATTATTGATGGATTTGAGTCAGTGAAAACAATTCGGTTAAGCGTTTTGCGGTACTTGCTTAAACGTGAGAGAAGCACTTCTTTTTGATATCCGACAACCTGTATCCTCACTTTGTCATGGAAAACCAGCTCGTTTCCACTCAAGCCAGAAACAGATACCCGCGGCATGACAAAAGAGGGCGCCGCCGTGGACAGCTCGATCGTATCCTGCTCCTCGTCCGAAGACTCGGAAAATGACTCTGAGTCGAACACCAGCACTTGATGAGTTGGATTCTGCACACTTGTATCCTCTAGATTGCGCTCTTCGTTATCGGAGCTAGAGAGTATTGAACCTATGTTTGGACTGTTGAGCTTGGCTGTACTGCACAATACCCTATTTGCGGGTGAAGCATTTGCATCAGCAAGCCCAAAGCTGGAGGGTATCGATTGCCATGATGTTATAGAAAAATCTTCGTTTCTATAGGAACTGTTGTAAGCATGGATTTCGGAGTTTAAGTTAAGTGGCGTGGACATTCGTTGTCCAGGGCCATTTTCCAAAGCCGAGAGATCGAATTCCAACTCCGGATTGTGAAGAGCCTGGAATACTGACAAATGCGGCGACAGGATGCTTTCAGATTTCCTTATCACTCCACAAGACGAATTGGTGCCCTCAGGAGCAATTTCCCTGCTCACTCCTGGAGTCGACTCGTGTTGCTGCTTTTTGGCCTTATTAAACTTTTGTTTCTTTGATTGAAGTAGCATGGTGTTCGAAGATATCGGATCACCTGGAAGGAGGTCTGAATTCACTCACTTGGGATATACGCTGAAGGGGTCGTGGCTATAATAGTGAAGACGCTAGAGAGCCAAGAATTTGGACTTGTTAACAATCGTAAGGCAACTAGAGCAAACTGATAGACTGCAAAAGTGCCTCAATGAAATGATGACAGATGTTCGGAGAACAAATAAGAGAAGTTAACAATTACAAATCTTTAGGCTTCCTTCCTAGTGCTCTGCCAAAGAGGGATCGTGTACAGAGATATATTAATCCGCTTTGGAAGCTACTAAATTATCATTCAGGGGGGAGACTCAGCCGAAAAAAAACAATCTTCCAAAGCAACTGGACAACAACGCTCAACAACTGTTTTTACAGTCTCACCTGATTACTCCAACTCAGCTTTCGCCAGCGATGTTTCAATTTTTGACACACATCTTTGCACCAGAACAACGTCAAAAAAATATCTTATCTAAGGTAAAACCCCGCTTGTTGGTAGCATCAACAAAATGGTCATGAAGTCTGTGAGCCAGTGTATTCTTACAAGAGACGTGCAGGACACGTTAATTCAATTTAGGCGATTACCTTCTTTGAGAGATATGTAATGGGAGTCAGAGCGCATTTTATGGTGCAGAGATGTACATGCACGAGGGCGATTTTGCTTTGTTTACAATATGTTGCTGTTGCTTGATACGCCACATAGATAAGAAATTTGTGGCAGTGTTTTCAACACCAGAGGACCCATGAGACCCGTTGGCCATTACAGGAGGATACAAACTGTTCACTTCTATTCACAAGAGTATGCGCGCTTAAATCCGTCATTTTTGCCCCCCAAAAAAGACGCTAGAGAACATTTTTGGGTATCCGCTCGATGTGGCGAGTGCGTCAGATTTCCCCATATACAAGCAGCATGCTACAAGTTTTTTTGTTTTCCTTAATTACCTGTCCTGTTGACAAGCACAAGCCGTAGTCGGTTAGCTTGATCAAAACACACGCTCTTTGCCAATCAAATATGTTTATACTCGACAAGCCCGTTGCTTCCGAAGCCGACACGTCCTTGGAACCGCAAGTGATTGATTTAAACACGCTCGAGTACCGTGACGTGTCTGCCCCAGCACCGACAACCAGGAAGACTCGGTTCTGGTTTTGGCCCTTTGGCGGCAACAGAAGCGCCAAAGAATCGATTGCTGTGTCGGGTCCCGAAACTGTCGCCACCAAGGAAAAGCAACTCAAGAAAATCCGCGACTCAACCAACAAGGTGATTGCTATGAGAAAGGTGCATGACGACGGCGTTGAGTTGGAAGATGATTTCATTGATATTCAAGTTCGCCAGCTTTCGTATGCCGAGGTTGCCGCCCTTCAACTGAGGAAGGATAGAGAACCACCATCAGACTCTTCTAGAAACGCGTCTTCAGGTGTTCCCCATGTCGATCCTGTTGTCGACCAAGACTCGGAGCTAGAGAAGTCAATCACTGATGTTGAGTTTGCAGACAGCTATTCCAGGTCAAAGAAGTTCTCAATTGACGAGTTCAGCCGCACGGAATCCACTCTGGCAGAGGAGGATACGATCCTTGAGGATTTCAACAAGAAACTTCCCAAAAGGTTTGCCAAAAATGGCAAATATATGAAGAAGAGAGACAACACAGCAGCAAGATAGACAACCAGCGTGTATTGTGTCCTCTGCTTTCACTTTCTGTATTTCCAATGGATTCTAGTAGATTAATTATGCGACACAGCCTTAATGTAGTAAAAGGGGATATTTTTATGGAACAAGGAATTAGCCCCTTTTAGATGACCAGCTATCGCAAAGTATTCAGTTCCATATCAGCTTTACCAATCGGTGAAAACTCTGCAGACACTATCATCAGTAGCCTGAGCAGCTCTTCGAGTGGACCTGAGCTTTCTGAGTCTCCTTCTGCGAAGGCCAAGATGAGGGCCAATAGAAAAGAGGAGAGGTCTATCCAATCTTCTGTCCTTGCCCCTATTGAGCCATATCTAGATGGCCAAGAAAAGAAAACAACGGCTACTTCTAGCACCAATCAATCAATATCAGTGGCCAGCACTCTTCAGGGGGTGAAAAATACCGAGACTTCTGGGCAACCAAAGATTCGAAAAGAGGGCAGAAAAAGAAGGGTTGTTGACAGCGACGACGAAACGCCAAGAAAGCAACAATTTGATCCTAACGAAGTGCATTGTATGGGGACCACATCGCAACCTGACTTATCGGCCACGATTACAGACGAGTTCAGCCTTGATCCCATCATCACTTCCTCGTATATTGAAGAAGACTCAGAATGTATGCGCAGAAGCCAATCTCCAAGAAGTGGACCAGGAGATTTGACAATTCAAACTGAAGAGGACACAACACTTGTCAGCAACAACAATCTGAAGTCAGTTGATCAAGACCAATTGACCGGCACCCTTTCTTCATTTCTCAATAGATTGCGACAGATGGAGACCTTCGTCGTAAAGAGACAGCGTCACATGCACCAAGAATTGGAGGCAAGTGAACTGGATAGGAAACAGCTTGTGTATATTATCAGCCAAACCCAAGAAATCTTGGGCGGTTTGATGCCTGATAAAGCACAAACTAAGGCGCAGCAGAAAAATATTTCGAAATGCATGCACCTCGGACCCTGACGTCCACAATATGGAGAAAGAATACAATGATCGGATTTTGCTAAGCCACACATCGCTGGTATATATTAAATGCTAAACCTCCATTGAGAACAAAAGATGACGGAATCGAAGATATATGCGCCTCCGAGCGGTCCTCCGCCGTCAAACTCCAGTGAAGATTATGAAAAGCTTTTAAAGTTTTGCGTGGGAACCATAAATCGATTGCAAGCACCGAAAGTGTTTGACGAGCAATTGCGAAGGCTCGGGAAGAAACGTAAAGCTCTGTTTGGGGGAAACAAGAACGCCAAAAAGCTTGCAGAAGTATTCGACAAGCAGGTGATAACTTCATGCTTGGATGGGCTGCCATTGTATGCTAATGACCAAGCTGTAATTAGTCAATTAGCTCAGTCCAGGTGTCTAACTCGAATTAAAGAAGTGGCTGCTGAGTTTGGAATACCAGACCAGGAGTATGTTTTTTATGATCTATGCCAGCTTTGTCTATTCAAAATCATATTCTACATTGACAATTCAACCTCAATGAAGAAAGGCAACCGGTTACAACAACTACACGATTTCCTGAAGCTGTTCATGAGAATCAACGTCAGTCCACAGCCATTGAGGCTGAAATTTATGAACCACAACAATGAGATTCATGCTTTTCTTAGGCAAAGGTTTAATATTGATTGCGAGAGAATTGAGACCGAAGAGCAACTGAACACCGTGATGGCCAACATCGCAATAAATGGTGCCACGCCACTTGCTACCAACCTGTACACGACGATCCTTGAGCCCGAAGTACTAAACCGCAAACTTGGTCAGCCTCTTCTTGTTGTAACTTTCACGGACGGCTCGCCGAATGGAGATAAATACACACTGGGAAGAGTTATCAGGATGGCTCAGAAAAGGCTTTCAGAGAACAACTTGCCGCAAAAGGCTATTTGCTACCAGTTTGCACAAATTGGAGATGATAGAGAAGCTGGCGAGTATTTAGATAGCTTGGATAGCGATGCCTCTATTGGTGATGTTATCGATTGCACGTCCCCGATAGAAATTGAGATGAAGCAGATTCGGCGCAAGAATCCAGAGCTGTCAACGGAAGTCAATTACGTGAAAAAACTGCTTCTTGGACCCATAGACATTGCTTACGATTCCATGGATGAGATCAATAATCGTGTATACTGATGTAAAGATGTATTAGCTCAGGCATGTATATTTTTTCTGAGAGGGCATAACTGATGAAAACCGTGCGCGCGACTTAACGCCACACAAATGATTTTTTTCGAGTCTTGATTGGACAACAGAAAAAGACACCGGTTTTTTTACAATCCTGAATTAAACGTTCAAGTATATCTTTGGTCAGATTATAGGCAAAGACTTGGTTTCAATTAAGATAAACAGCTTAGATTGACCACGTTCACCGATTCTGGATAAATATATCACTTTAACGAGGAATTGATCATCGGAGTTACTGGAAACTATCAATAAACAAAAGATGTCTTCCGTTGCCAAATCTGCCGCCAACAAGCTGGACTGGACCAAGATTGTGTCGAAATTGGGCCTTTCTGGTCAGACTGCAGCAGCATTGACCTCGTTCAAGAAGAGAAACGACGAGGCCAAGAGAATTTTGTTCGAATTAAAACAACAACCTAGCAACGTCGACTTTGCCTTCTACAAGAGCACATTGAAGAATACTGCCATTGTGGACAAGATTCAGAGTGACGTTTCCAAGTTCACTCCATCCAAGGCCAACCTTTCTAAACAACTCAACCTGATCGAGTCCTTTGAGGCAAAGGCTTTGGAGAACGCCAAGGAGACGGAAAGCGTTGTTCTTGCCGAGCTTACTGACTTGGAGAAGACGCTTGAGAACATTGAGAGTGCCAGACCATTTGACCAACTTACTGTGGATGATGTCGTCAAGGCTAGACCAGACGTCGAGGAGAAGGTTCAAGACATGGTGTCGAAGGGTAGATTCGAGGTGCCAGGCTACAAGGAGAAGTTCGGTGACCTGGTTATCATGTAAGATCGCACATACATTGAACATTAGAGAACTGAGACATGACTCATGTAACATGCCGGATTAAGTATATCTTTACATCTTTTTTTTTCTTCGTAGGATTCTTCTCAATGTCGCAGATAAATGTTGATCTGTCCGCTCAATTTCTCGAATGTCTGGCAGTTGAACGCCAAGAGAGCTTCGACCAGATGTCTGAGTTGATTTCACGAGCCTCGCCCAAAAACTTGAGTGCCAATGGACTGGCAGTGCTAAATCTGAGCGTTTCGAATGTGCGGACTAGCATTGGAGGCAAACAAATAGTTGAGCTGGTTCCACATGCTTCTATTGCGGGGAAAGAAAATGCTGCAATCCAAACAGGGGACTTGAAGACTGGCGACATTGTCAAGCTGGATAGGTATAGCTCCGACGTGAACACTAAAAAGCTGAGGAATTCGTCTAAAAAGAAGGACGTTGACGACGCCGAGGAAAGCAGCGTCCAGATTGATGGTGTGGTGGTGCTTGTGAGTGAACGGCAGATTAACATTGCGCTCAATTACGACTCAATGACAGCTGAAGGTGCCAAAATCGAGGAGAAAGTGTATTCACTTTACAACTCTGATGCGAAGATATGGCTTGTTCAGGTAGATAATGAGATCACTTACAATCGCATGGAGTCGACCATGAGAAAATTGGGCGAGCTGGACGCTGATACGGCGTCGGAACTAGTGAAGCTTGTTTTGGGCAAGTCTGCATTTCTCCCACCTAATTTAAAGCACGAAAAAACAAAGCTCAACTGGTTCAATGGCAATCTGAATGACTCTCAAAAGAATGCCGTTCAGTTCTCGTTAGCAAGCAATTTAAGCATTATCCATGGGCCCCCTGGAACAGGGAAAACAAGTACCATAGTGGAGCTCGTCAAACAATTGGTGTTGAGGAAAAGAGAATCACAAGGCAGGAAACGGATTCTGATCTGTGGGCCCTCCAATATCTCGATAGATACCATTTTAGAGCGACTCTCATCTTTTTTCTCCGACAACAAATACTCAAGGCTGGTCCGCATAGGACATCCTGCCAGGATGCTACCCCAAATTTTGCGTCACTCGTTGGATATCATAGCAGAGAGCGAGTCCGGCGAGATATTAGAGGACATTCTCCAAGAGATCAACCAGTTGACCCGGAAAATCAAAAAAACAAAGAGCTATAGAGAACGCAGGGAACTGTATCAGACAATCAAAGAGCTGAAGAAAGATCTGCGTCTCCGATCGAAGAAAGCATACAACGACGTTCTGTCAAACTCTGAGGTTGTAGCAGCTACTCTTCACGGGTCCTCAGCAAGAGAAATTGTGAACTGTATCCGCGAAAGAGGAGATCTATTCGATACATTAATTATAGACGAGGTTTCGCAAGCTTTGGAGCCTTCCTGTTGGATCCCGCTGATGTATAACCAATCGTTGAAACAGCTGATTATTGCAGGCGATAACAAACAGTTGTCACCAACGATAAAAACGAAAAAGAATGCCAAAGTGGTCAACACATTGAGTAAAACGCTGTTTGACAGATTAATCGAAGTGCACAAAAATCACCAAGAGTTTACCTGCTTCCTTGACATTCAGTACCGAATGAACAACAAAATCATGAGCTTTTTCAGTGATGCCCTCTATGACGGGAAGCTGAAGGCACATTCCTCGGTCAAAAATATCAAACTTTCAGACCTGCCCTATGTGAAATCTCCCCAAGACGACAACGTTGCAGAGGAGGTCATATGGTATGATACTCAAGGAGGTGACTTTCCGGAAGCAGATTCTGCTGAAGACGACTCAGCGGGTCTACAAGCGTCCCGTTATAACGACGGAGAATGTTTGGTGGTATTAAAACATGTTCGGTCTTTGGTTGAGGACCATAATGTCAAGCAGGGAGACATAGGCATTATTTCTCCATACAGTGCTCAAGTGTCTAGCTTGCGAAAGCTTTTGCGAGAGGAGACGGAACACCCGTTCCCAGAGATTGAAATCAGCACTGTGGACGGTTTTCAGGGACGCGAGAAAGAGGTGATCATTTTGTCACTGGTGAGATCGAACGACTCGCACGATGTGGGATTTTTGAACGACTATAGACGTATGAACGTTTCCATCAGCCGGGCCAAGCGTCAGCTGTGCGTTGTGGGGGACATGGAAACAATTAGCGAAAGCAACGTGGGTTTCCTGAAGCAATGGTGTGAATGGTGCGAAGAAAATGCCGATATCAGATATGTCGATGTCAGTGAATTATGAGCTTGGTGTCCACAGACAAAGCTCCGAGTCGGCCGATGCCATCACACAGTATTGGGGGTCGAACAGGAGCATTCGCGGAAGGGTTTTCGTCTCGTTTTCTAACTTCTTGACTGGATACAATACCGCCGGCAAGCTTTCAGTCGATAAAAGCTTCAAGTCCCATACCAGTACAGAACCGTCACCATTGCCACCAAAGATGAACCGACAGTCGGGAGAGACTGTCAAATTGCCTGTGTCGGGGTATTCTCTCTCGATGAGGGGCAGCTGGCCTGGTAGCCTTGCTACCAAGCTCAAATTGAAAGCGTCCAGAAGGAAGTGCTCTGTGGAATTTGTGGTGATCAAGATATATTTATTATTATTCATGAAGTCAATTTTTGTGACAGACGATGGTTTCACAAAATCGCACACCACAGTGGAAAATGGCCGGTCTGTAAGATGCGCCACCGCATGCAGGGAAAGAACATTTGAATACGCGTTATGAATGGCAACGACTGTGTTGGATGGATCAAGGGCTATGGAGGACGGTCTCTCGTCAGTTACTAGAGTTGCTTGGCAATTGGCACTCCTTGTGTCCCAAAGGCGGACAGTGTGGTCGTAAGAGGCACTAACAAACATATGATTAAGATCGGCCATTGCGAGATCTGTCACCAGGGCCGTGTGGCCTTTAAAATATCGAATGAAAGAATTATCATGCAGCGAGAGATACCGAATTGTATCGTTTTCCTTGGTGGATGCAAATACACAGGTATTTTCCTTGCGGCCCAGTTTTGCCAAATGGCAGCCGTATTTCTTGGAGTAGATGGGCTTGACATGTTTTCCTTTGGCGACATCGTAGAGATGTATGCTTTCGTCTACACCGGCAGTTATGAGGAACTGGCCTGTGTGATCGAAATCAATAGATGTTATGGGTGTATTCGATACGTGATTATTGAACAACTTTGCCGGCTTCAGCGAAAGCAGAAGGTTGGCCGAGATTGGCGTCGCCATAAATTAAGCAAAGTTTTGGATGAAAAATAAAAATGCACAGCCACATACTAAAGATGAAATCCAGATAAAATAAAAAAATTACAAGATGGGAGTAAGTACCTGTGTGGAACCTTTGGATGCCTAACATCAGGTCGGCAAATATGCTCATTACGCCTTTGATCTGGTTTTGATTTCGATGGTGCTTGCAGGCATCAAGAAAACCACTGGACTCAGTTTGTCTGTGGAGGACCTGGCCGATGGCCCAAGTTCGAGATCGCTGCTCTCCCGCTACCTGGCAGTTGGCGAGGGATGTTTTGATTATGCAGTTTCCTGGTGCAGGAGCTCGCGCTTATTTAGGCCAAAGAATATTGAGAATTTTGACGATTTAAAGGATGCACTGAGACAAGGTGTGAACAATATGATTGACGAAAGAAAACGGTAGGCGATTTATAGTTCAACACGAAACATTTGGGCGATGAGCCGTCCTTCAGTAGAAGGATAAGACACTGTTGTCTTTCTATCAGTAGGCGGCTAAATCAAACCTCCTTAAATGGGGCTTTTAACGTTCACTGGTTATAAGCCATAAGGCAAAGGAGAATATCGTATTTGAGTCTATTTACATTGATCATTTTTCCTCTTCTTCTTCTGGAACGAGCGCGTCGGCAGACTCAAGGAGCTCGCTCAGCTCGCCTGACTGGCTCATGGCCATCACAATATCACATCCTCCAACGAAATCTTTATTAACGTAAAGTTGAGGAATGGTAGGCCATTCACTATACTCCTTGATACCCTGTCTAAGTTCAGGGTCTTCCAGGACGTTGTAAGCAGCAAATTTGTGTGGATCCACACCCAGCTGTCCCAAGATTTGAATAGTGGCTCTCGAAAATCCACAAGCTGGAGCCTGTGGAGTACCCTTCATGAACAGCACGACGGGAGCAGATGAAATGGCCTGCTCGATTGCAGATCTTGTTTCCTGAGACAATAATCTCACGGTAAGGGGCGTCAGCCGAAACTTAGGTGCACGGAGCGAGCTTTGGAAGGCACGGGCAAACATGGTGGATTCAATAGACGAGAAAGTTTTTATTTGTAATGCGTCGATCGTCCAGAAATGTACAATTTATCGTCGCTTTCCGGGGTCCCAGCGCCGCTAAGAAAGACAAGATTTTAATATAATGAAGGTTGTCCACCACAGACTTTCTGTGCTGCACTAAGGTGCATCTGTTGCATATAAATCGTCTAAGTGAATTCTATTGTGCTGCTGAACGAACGCACCCTCCCACCCTAAATTAATTCATTTCGCTAAAAGCAAGCCATTTTTTTTAATTTTTCGATAAAGCAACATATCTCACAATACCAGATAAAAAGTTCTGACCAGGGGCATTTTTTACCACTTTTTAATATCAGGATACAGGAAGTCCTAGCTTGGCCCACAATAATCTTTGCTGTTCAGTTCTGCCAGTGTAAACTGATAACCTGTTGTCTACTTTCATTTTGGTCTCTGTTTTCAGGTACTAATATAGCTTACTTGCTAGCACAGAAAACCCCGGGATTGCCGCAAACGCCACGATGAATGGAACCTCCAGACGTCCCAACTCTTACGAGTTTGTGCCTGAGTACTCGAACCACGGGCCATTGCACCTCCAGCACGCGAATTATCACAAACACAGTGGCTCTCTATCGCACCAGCAGCCCATGAGTCTGCAGACTGACGACCACAACTCAACTTCATCTTTTTATCATCACAGCAACCAGAACATTCAGTATCTTCACGACAAGTCGCTCATTCCGCTGTCAATCCAAACGAGTGCCACTGACTACTCGATTATGGAAGATTTAGAGAAAATACCACTAGACGACCCCATTCCCCTACCGAGTGCAACTGAGAGTGTCGCAAGCCAAATCACTCCAGACCTTGGGTTTGCGCCAGAGACTTCTATGTTCTCGGCGGGTAATTATGTGAGAACAAACTCTAGTTATTTGGAGGATTTTGTCACCACAGAACCATCGTCCGAGGAATCAGCCCATATCGACGATTATCTCAACCAATACATCAAGCTTGAAATGATCAGTACGCCCAATGAACACCGTTCAGATGGTTTGGGAATAAAATCTCCGCCGCAGTTTGCCCAAAAGCTGTCGTCTCCGAAAACTAATATGCCTCTCATTTTCAAGCAAGAGGTTATGTCTCCAACGGCCAACAAAAAAGCCACGCCCAAGCTGAGGCCAAAACCAAAAACTCCTCGTGCACCGCCGAAGTCCACTAATAAAGTGGCTAAAACACTATCCACGACACAAATGGCTACTGCAGCAGCTGCAGCAGCGGTGTCATCTCAGGCTGCGCCGAAAAGAAAACCAAGCGTCTCGTCGCTGTCGTCTGCAGCTGCGATAGCCACCACTACAATGGCTAGAAATCCAGCCGGAGCCCAGAATTCGCCAGTTTCAGCAAGAAAACCGCTTCCGCCAACTCCTAAAAAAACATCCAAATCACCAAGCCATTCGAAGCAGACAACCGGCAGACGGTTTTCGTTTGTGTTTGAGACTGCGCCCAAAATTCCAGCTAATAGCTCTTCCGCATGTTCGATCTCTTCAAATTCGACTATCTCTTCTAATTTCTCGGCCTCCTCGCCAACTAACAGCATGGGCTCTCCCACGACCATTTCGCACCCCGTCAACGCATCGTCCAAGCCTACATTCATTATCTACTCGCAACAGGATCAATTCATCCCCGAGACTGTGCCTAACTATTCTCGCCCTCACTCGCGTCGCAACAGCATTGCCACCTCTACATCATCCGGCGTGACTCCCTTGCAGAGCCCCATGTCTTCGTCGGTCTCTAAATTTTCCAAAGCGCCAGCATACTCGTCTTCAGTGTCCTCAGTGTCAATTTCGAGCACGAAGTACAAAAAAATGGCCAAAACGTCACAATCAAAACACGTGATAGATACCGATCTGAAACACAACTCGGAGTTTCAGAAGTCCATAACCAAGTTCCCCAAGAACAACGTCGTTCCGTTCGAGCCTAAGATCTACAAGGACATGAAACAGGGCCTGATGGAATTCCAGCTTCAAGTCCCCCCCAAATAGCCTCCGTCATTCGTACAGCTACCATAAAGTAATAATACACTGTATACACCTAATCTCAGGCTGTGTCGCAAGGGAGAGTTTCCTTATATCGTGGCATGGTCGTGCAACAACCGGCACTATTAAGTAAAATTGTTGCTAAAAACAAACCTGGTAGAAAATTATATGTTCCTCGCTACTACTCGCTTGTAGAGTATTGAACGCACATTCGTCCGTCTCGCATCGCATCATTCCATTACCAAACGATCCATACAATTGAACAACACAAATGAGTTTGGAGGACATGAATGATTTCAAACTCGGGACAGAAGCTTTCACAACGGGGGTACCGTCTCCTCCTCCAAAAGACGCTGGTGGGGCCAAATCTTCAGGAACAGACTTTGTAAAGAAGCTTTTCCAAATGCTCGAAGAAAACAGCTACGCTGATATTGTCCGATGGTCTGAGGCAGGGGATTCATTTATCATTGCAGATACGAACGAGTTTACCAAGCAGGTTTTGCCGAAGCATTTCAAACACAGTAACTTTGCCTCATTTGTGCGACAGCTCAACAAGTACGATTTCCACAAGGTGAAAATTAGCAACGAGCTCAAACAGAGATACAGCATTGAGAATGTGTGGGAGTTCAAGCATCCAGAGTTCCAGAGAAATAATAGAGAGGCACTCGAGAATATCAAGCGAAAGGTGACAGCAAAAAAGGAGGGAGACACTGCTGTTTCCTCAAACACAGTCTCTCTCGCACAGTTCCGCAATCTGCAAGACAATTTTGGGTTTTTGGAAAAGCAAAACCAGTCCCTCACAGAGACGGTGCAGAAACTCCACGATGAGCTCAACATTCTCAATACCAAGTATAATACGATGGTTTCGAGTTTCTTGACATCGAAGTCGATCAACGAGTCGTATTCTCGTGCGATCAACGTTTTAGCCAAATCCTTGACCCAGATGGGCGTCGAGCTGCCGCCATTGAATCTTCCTTTCATCGACCAAAACCAGCCGTCTCAGGACCCACAGCCTGCGAGCAGCATGCCCTCGTCAGTGGAGGCAGCGCCACAGGAACATCCGCAATTTATCCCCGCAAACGAGCCTGCTAAACCCGCATCCCAACCCCCGGCAGGAGCACAACAAGATAACCGTATTGTGCGACAGACCAATGGTTCTGGAATGCATGTCTTGCTGGTTGAGGACGACGAAGTCTGCATTCAGCTGTGCAGTAAATTCTTGATGAAGTACGGTTGCACGGTGGAGGTGGTGACCGACGGATTGGCGGCCATCAATGTTTTGGAAAAAGTCAAGTTTGATTTGGTATTGATGGACATTGTGATGCCAAATCTCGATGGAGCTTCGGCAACCTCTGTCATCCGATCTTTTGACGTGGATACGCCCATCATCGCCATGACCGGCAACTATCAGCATCAAGACCTAGTGACGTATCTTAACCATGGAATGACGGACATTCTGGCCAAGCCATTTACCAAAAACGATTTATACAACATTCTGGAGAAGCACCACATAGACAAGAAGCTCATTTACCCGGTCAACGACCCGTTCAACCCCATGAACAAAAATAGCCCTTCTCACTCGGTAGCGGGCCAGCAGACACAGGTAGTTGCTCCGATGCCGGTAGAGTCGGAGCCGCTGCAGCCAAAGATGGAACCGGACTTTGAGAACGCGCTAAAGAGACAAAAACTTGTATAGCTGTACATACATACAAATCGCTTACCTAATGGATAATGGATGGTTTTTTTTCAGGAATTGGCGACCGACTCTATTTTTTAGCGAAATTTAGTCAGGAACGTACACCAGGTATTCCTTTTTTATTACACAGATCTCAATGTTTGGACTTTCTAGAACTGTCGGCTTGAGTCAACGCATTGCGTTCGCTAGATTGAGCTCGACACTGGCTTTTGTCGAGACTGCTGGCTCCAAAATCACACCTTCGTCACTTTCGGCTTTAACTGCTGCCCAGGAACTGGGCAAGCCAATTACAACTCTTCTAGTGGGGCCCCACGCTGCCGAGGCCGCCAAAGAAGTTTCCAAGGTTGCTTCTGTGGACAAGATTCTGGTGTCGCCTTCTGAAAAGTATGACCATTACCTGCCAGAGCAAGTTTCTCCTTTGGTCGCCAGCTTATTGAAAGACTCGGACTACACCAACTTTGTGGTTGCTGCGTCCACTGTGGGGAAGAGCTTCCTTCCTCGCGTCGGGGCCATTCTTGATTTACAGCCTATTTCTGACATTATCAAAGTTGTTTCTCCAGACACTTTTGTGAGACCAACGTATGCTGGTAATGCGATTTTGACTGTCAAGTCGAAGGACAGCCAGGTTTTGTTTTCGGTGAGAAGTTCTGCTTTTGCACCTGTTGAGCTGAAGGATGCTCGCGACGTGCCTGTGGAGGAAGTTCCGTACGTCGAGGCGGGCAACAGTGCCGAGTTTGTTTCTGAAGAGCTTGTCAAGAGCGAGAGACCAGATCTGGGATCTGCCAAGATCGTCGTTGCCGGCGGCCGCGGTCTCAAGAACAAGGAGGAGTTTGATAGACTGATCACGCCGCTGGCCGAGAAGCTGAACGCTGCCATAGGCGCCTCGAGAGCCGCTGTTGACGCCGGGTTCTGCGACAACTCGTTGCAGGTGGGCCAGACCGGAAAAGTTGTTGCCCCAGACCTGTACATTGCCGTTGGCATTTCTGGAGCCATTCAGCACCTCGCCGGTATGAAGGACGCCAAGACGATTGTGGCAATCAACAAGGACGAGGAGGCCCCTATTTTCTCTGTTGCCGATGTTGGCATTGTTGGCGATGTCTTTGAAATTGTTCCTGAACTGACTGCGAAAATTTAGAGCACAGGGGAAAAAACCGCTTCGCCGCGCAGTGGCCGGAGCTTGATATATAAGAAAGCGCTCAATTTAGTTGAGTCTCATATTACACTTTGCTGAATACAACTAATTAACATAGACAATGACCTACGACAGATCAAAGGAGATGGAACAACAGGCCTGGGTGGCCGAAAGACTAAACAGCACTCCTGCCTTGTCTGCGCTAAACGGACTGCTTTCGTCGTTCCCCGTGGTGAAGATCTTCACCTCTAACGCTGTTCCTCTTCTTATCTGGAGAGAGCACAACCAGGCTGCCAGACTCGAAAAGAGATACAATCACTAAACGCACGTTCTGCTCTGCATGGCGGGCCCTCTGTGCACGCTATAGTTCATTTTATAAACTGAATGGAATCATTCTTGTGGAAAAAGTCTAGCGTTTCCTGTCCAAGGACTCGAATATCGAGCACGGTGTGTCGCTAGGCGTTGGTGTTCTGTAGCTGCGAAGCATTTCGTGTGTGTTTCTGTTGAAGTCAAAGAGCGGACTGGGATCTCGCGCACTTTCTGACGAGCTGGTGTTTGTAAAATTGAAGCGGGCCAGCATCATGGGTTTTTCGATTACCACGCTCTGCGAGCTCGAGTTGCGGTCCACGCGCAGAGATCGCTGGCGGCTGGCCCGCACACTGCCGGAATGGGACGACATCGAAGTGTTGGAAGAGCGAATCTGTAGCGTCGACATCGAGTTTTCCGAGCTTACGGAAATTGCCGACGCCAGCGGCGAAACCAGCGCCAAAGTAGCGTCGCTCGCGAGCGAGAGAGTGTCTGAGCGCTGCGATTCGGGTATTGGCGAGTCGACCTGTGTGAACTTGTCAATGGCGCGCTGAATATAATTGTCTCTTTTAGGTCGCTTGACGCCAACAGTCTGATGCGAGACTCGTGTGCGTTTCTGGAGCCGGGTCGGCAGCGAGGAGCTGGGTCTTGTTCTTACAAGGCCGAGCACACGTTTGTTTTTGCGGGTCGGGGCGCTTGTAGGCAGCGAGTGTGGCTGCGGAGCCGATTTCTGGTGCGCGCGGATGTTGAGGTCGTTGGCATTCAGGTTCTGCATCTGCTTCACAACGTTCCTCTCGTAAGTCCCCAATACCTCGTCTATCATGATCCAGATCGACTCGAGCTTGACCAGGTCGTCGACCCGATATCGCGGATATGAGCTAAGGAAGTCGGAGTAGATTTCCATGCGATCCTCGTCGTAGACTATCAGCTTCTTGTTGAGCTTGAACAGACGCATTGTTCCGTCGTGCCAGACCTTGTGTTTCTTTGCGGTTTCGTTTGTGTACAATATTTGGTACTCCGAGTACTCGGAATGCTCCAGATGGCTATAGGAGGGCGGCACTTGGGTTGTCATGGGGAATAATGACAGATCATAATTCCCGGCTGGTGGTTATACAAATATTTTTTCCTCGCCACTGCAATGTGCTTGCCGGACGCGAAAAAAAGTGGCTAGTACACCTCCTGGATGTTTCAGATTTAGCGTGTTGGCTGCCGGTGTCCTGGACGACCTAAACGGGTGGTAGAGGCAGCACAAACATGTCTGCACCGTTGTGATTTCTCCAGCAGCAGCAAGAGCTTGGTTTGGGGGGTTGTGAGGTCTCAGATACAAGGTGGGCTGTGATTTCGAGCGGCTGGCTCCATTCGAAAAGAAAAGCGGATCCGGCAGGTAACCAGATACCGGTGATGATTATCCAAGGCTTCGTGGTGAAGGCTTCGTTATAGAGTTCATGTAGCTTGGGTGATCTCGACAAAAGAAAAAAGCAGATCAACGGAATTCTCGACTTGTCAGATCACTAAGTATTCCGTTAGACTGCCATATCGGGTAAATAGGCATGATGAAGGAGGTGCACTTTGTCACAGCCCAAAATAACACCCGTCCTGCGCGCCTGCTCAACAGGGGATATCGATCTAGAATCTATATGCACGACTTATGCCACCATCCTAACCTGGGAAGCGTCATAGATATCGTATGTATGGCAAGCAAGGCTTAAAAAAAAAACGCGTTTCACTACTATGCGCGATACCGCCAACGCGATTTTCCTGTAAGCGACTCCTATTGATCTGACGCACGGTCCGAAATTTTAACATTGTTTCAGTATTTTAAGTTCTAGAGGCTCAGCAGCCAAACACAGACATCTTACAGGAGAGTGCGGCTCGTACCTGCTACCAAAAATTTGTTTCGGGCGTGTTTTAGACACCACTAAGCATTGCATATTTCGATTCAAGATATAAATCCCAGCTCTCGCTAGTTGAAACACCCACCATTATAGCTCAGGGGTAAACTGACACTCGAAATCCATTCATTTTACTCTCGATTCGCTCCTTATGTTGGCCAGAACCGTCCTCTACACGTTGCTAGCTACTGCTACCTTGGCTAGGCCTCTCCACCAGCACCATCAGCACGCTAAGAGAAACCCGGCTGTTACTGTTGTTGTCACCGAGTACTTCGATGCCAACGGTATGGCGGTCTCCTCGCAGACTTCTGCCCCAAGCAGTGACGCGCCTGTCAGCGTCACGTACACGGTTGCCAGCGCGCCAGTCTCGGGAGCTTCCAGAGAGCCATACTATCCTTCCAGCCTGGACACCTCTGCCACCGAATCTGCCTCAGGCTCCAGCTCCGCCTCTGCCGCCAGCTCGACGGCCTCTGCCGGCTCTGTAGAGGCCTACGCAGAGAAAAGCAAGGGTATCACATACTCTCCTTACACCGACTCGGGATCGTGCAAATCTGAGAGCCAGGTTGCCAGCGACATTGCCAAACTCTCCGCCTACGAAATCATCAGAGTCTACGCTCCAGACTGCTCCTGCATCACCAACATCATGGCCAATATGGGCTCCAACCAGAAAATTTTTGCCGGACTCTACAACATCAACTCGCTCACTGACGACATTGCTACTCTGGCCCAACAGGTCGAGGCATCCAGCCAGGGCTGGGACGGCATCTACGCTGTGGCCATCGGTAACGAGTGGGTGCAAAATGGAGAGTCTGCCTCGAACGTGGTCAATGCTGTCTCCTCCGGAAGATCGACACTCTCGTCTAAAGGCTGGACCGGAAAGGTGGTGACTGTCGACACTGTCGGAGCATACCAGGACAACGAAAGCCTGTGTGAGGCCTCTGACTTCATTGCCGTCAACGCCCATCCATACTGGGACGGAAACGTCAAGCCAGAAGACAGTGGCAGCTTCCTGGAATCTCAGATCTCGCTTCTAAAGAGCACCTGTGGCAGTGACAAATCGATCTTGATTTGCGAAACCGGATGGCCAACCCAGGGAGACACCTACGGATCAGAGGGTGTTCCATCGACGGCAAACCAGCTCACTGCCATCAAATCCATCACCGAGTCGCTTGCCGACCAGGTGATCATGTTCACCACATACAACGACTACTGGAAAGACGCTGGTAGCTACGGCGTTGAACAGTACTGGGGCATCTATCCTAACTGAACACGGTCGTTCTTGTTCCTTCGTTTGCATGCACTCTATAGAAGTCAACTGATTTGCATTCCAAATAGACGTAGCTGAGGCACGATGCTGATATAAAATTATATTTCGCGTCGCGTTCTGCTCCTTCATAATGTACATTTATTTATAGAAAGGCACGTACTATACAATCTAGGCAGTCGTGCCGTTGGAAGAAGCCGCTTTACCTCGTTGCGCCAGTTTCCAGGCAAGGTACGTGGCACTGTGGCCCAATCGCACCGGCTGCAGCGCTTCGCCAACACGCTTCTTCTTGACAAAAGGCAATGCTAGGTCCTCGTTATCAAAGTCCTCCTGCGAAACCAGACGGTTCGGAACGTACTGGGGTGGCCCTCTGTACCACAGCATTGGAGTGAGCTCGTCCTCCGGGTACTCGTCAGGCTTGCTCATCGTATCGGTGCTTCCATTGAGGTAATTGTTCTGAGCAAGGTTCTTGGTGAACCTCTGGAAATTGGCGTTATCTATCCGCTCGTAGAGACTTCTGACCTCCTTTGGCATCTTGAGCTCTTGCGAAGTAGGCAGGATGAACGACTGCGAGTACGAAGGAGGATTGAACGGCGAGTACTGGTAGGCCAAATTATTGTATGGAGTCTGCACCACCTTTTGGCCCCCATACATGTTCCCATACGATGGAACAACAGGCTGTTGTTGGTAACTGTTGTAACTAGAGACTCCGTTGTTTTGATATGGCGGCTGAAAGTTGAACGGCTGCATGTTAGACATCGATGACGGGTATCCAGAGGCAGGGTTCGGCGGAATCGGCATGTTTTGAGGGGGAGGAGTCTGGTCTGAGTGTAGCATCGGTAGCCTGATGTTTGGTGACGGTGGGATGTACGTTTTGTACTCGTTGCTCTTCAGCGAAGCATCGTAGTAGTTTGGATCGTCGTGTGGCTCGCTGTCCGGTCCTGGCTCAAAGATGTGGATGCCACCCACCAGCGGAGGAGCATTGAGGTTCAAGATTGTTGGTGGAGGAGGCTTTTCTGACGGGACTGCGTTCGGAGGAAGCATATACTTTATTGGAGACGGAAACTTTTTCAAGACCCGTGGCTTGTCAATTGGAGTCACTGGGTCTTCAATGTGTCTCACCTCGTCAGGAAGACAAGCTCTCCATGTTCTGATTTTTGCAAAAGACAGCTCTCTGTCGCTGTATCTAAACTCGCAAATAAATAACGGCCCTTCATATTTGACAGCAGGATCGCCCTTCAGCCATCTGGTGAAATATGCAACGTAGCACGGTCCCAAAATATCCTCCACAGGATGGTCTCTATACTGGCCAGTCTTGAAAACTTCGTTTTCGAGGAACAAACGATCGTAACTGTGCGAAGTCCATTCTGGTCTGTAGTACCAGCATACATTAACGTAGCTCTTTCCATGTTCCTGCCACATTCGGAAGATCTGTCCCACAATCGGTCTATCAGGATCATTGGGATTTTTGAGCAGAACCCAGTTTCCGACCTTGTAAGTTCTTCCCTCGTAAACCAGAAACGGAACAGGCACTTTGGATGTGACAACGTCGCCGTAATCGCTGTCTGGCCGCTGCATTTCCAGATGATACAGTCTGGTGATGTTGGACTCCAAAAGATGGACGTTGTTAAGCATGGCAGAGTTGGCCGAATAGTATGCCTTCGAGTTCGCAATGAGTTTAAAAACGTCCGCCATATAAGCGTCGACACTCTGATAGTGTCGCTGCTTGATCAATCCCTTGATGTCCAGCATAGAAATTGGCTCTTTGACAATCCTGTAATATTCAGGATGATCCTGTTGATTTGGCAGCTTATCAAACACAGTAATGATTGTTTTTCCATTAACTTTGATTTTCTTCAGACCTCTCATGATACTCTTAATTCTCTGTTCGTGGGGCTGGTCCACAATCGGAGGTCTTCCTCTTTTAACCCAATTCTCAAGTAACTGGTCGTTAGATTTTGCGACATTACGTGTCGGTGGATAGTAATAGTTAGACTGCTGCGAAACCTCTGTTTTTGACACATATGCCGATGGGTTGTAATTTGGCATTGCGTTGTTGTAGCCTCCTTGTAAAGGGTGCATCGGATTTGTATGCTGCATCATATTGGATCCAGCACTGGGCTCCCGATAGTCTTCATCCTGGTAATCGTCGTCCTGTTGTCTGGTCTCGTCCACTTCCTCCTCCTCGTAATCCTCGTCCTCGTAATCACCACGAGACTTTGATTGACGAGCCGGTGGAGTCGGCGACGAGATTTGCATGACAAAATCGTCTTCACCCGGTAATTTGCCAAGATTAGGGTAGTAGACTTCAGAATGTCCAGGAATAGAGGAATCTTTTTTTATAGCAGGGATCACGTTCTGCTGAATGTAATTATCGAGTACAACGGCACATTCGTGGTAGATTGACGTTTTTTCGTTGTAAAACCGAGCATTCCAGGTGATCTGAGCCAGATCGTTGATAAACTGCTGCGGATGGGTGTACTTGAGGCTTTTGATCGTAGAGCGGATCTTGGAGTACGACATCGGCTTGCGGATCACTTTGTAATAATCGGTGTTGGATCTTAATGGAAGAACCTGGAACATTTCGTAGAACTCATTCCCTTCGGCGTCTTTCAGCGTGAGAATTTCATCCATGAACTCTGTGAACTTTGCTGCCATCGCACGACGCTCCTGTTCGGAGACACTTCGTTTGTCGTGAGGTGCCATGGTACTCTATAAGGTTAAAATGCACGTTTCTGACAAATGTGTGGGAGGAAAACCTATAAAGCGGCGGAAATGGGCACAATTGGGGGCCAAACGCGCGCGTTTCTGCTGTTTGCAACTTTTTTCTGTTTTGAAAATAGTTCGGATCTGATTTCTCGCAACGAGACGAAAAAAACAACCCTGGGTCTTTTCCTAGTTTGTATTGTTATGAAGAAGAAAAAAGGCTGGCAAAAATTTTCGACTATAGACACAATCTTATTTTGACAGACACAAGTTTTGTAGACTTAAGAAAAGCTAAAAAAATATCTAGCAAGATAACATATCAGATGTCGTGAAGAATATCACTGTCCTCCTTGATGCCGCTCTCAGAACACCACGATGAAGATAGTAACGAGTCTCCAATAAACAGTGAGGATCTGACGGAGTCCGCCCCTTCGTCAACGCTGATCCCTGTGTCCACTCTTGAGTCCTTCCACAACTTCTTGCGCTCGCCAAATTGTAAAACCATACTTGCTCTTATTGGTGCAGGATTGTCTGCCTCCTCAGGATTGTCTACTTTCCGCGGGTCAGGTGGATTATGGAAACAATACAACGCAATCGACCTAGCCACCCCCGATGCGTTTCTTGACGATCCAGGCCTTGTGTGGCAGTTTTATGCCTATCGCAGACATAAGGCGTTGCAGGCGCAGCCGAACCTCGGCCATTATGTACTAGCAAAGCTGAGCAAACTGGCAGACATCAACTTTCTTACAATTACACAGAACGTCGACGGCTTGTCTCAGAGAAGCCATCATGTGCCAGAGAAACTGCTAGAGTTCCACGGGTCCTTGTTTGGGATGCGATGCACAAACTTCAGCTGCTCTTATGAGGAGCAGAATAATTATAATGACCCACTATGCGAAGCTTTGAGAGTGGACAATTTCGACCAGACCGACGCGTTGCCGTTTCTTGACGAGCAGGATCTCCCGCACTGTCCTGCATGCAAAGTTGGCCTGTTGAGGCCGGCAGTAGTGTGGTTTGGAGAGTCGCTGCCTTTGCAGATGATCGACAAGGCAGATGAATTTATAGTGCAAAGCAAAGTGGATTTGATGCTGGTGATCGGAACATCTCGAGCAGTGTGGCCTGCCGCGTCGTATGTGGATATTATCAGAAACCAGGGAGGAAAAGTCGCCATTTTCAACACCGAGCCGGACGATGACGAAAAAGACTGCTGGCAGTTTATAGGAGACAGCGCAGAGACCTTGCCCTTGGCTATGGAGCCACTGATCGGCAAGCTCAGCCCAAATACTTCCATATCAAATACATCACGTACAACGTGAGTGCTGCCCCGATGTAGAATATCCACTTGTCCTCAAATGCCTTTTTCTCAATCTGTCTAATAGTAGCTTTCGAAACTCCCAGAGTCTGCAAGCTGGACGACATTCTCTCCTTCATTTTCAGCACCACCTCGTTCTGCTCCACCAGATCGTCAAACGCCATTCTTCCCATCTCGAGAATTTCGTCCAGCTGCTGGTTTGAACGTTCTAAAACAGACTGTTCCTTCTGTAGCCCTTCTTGCATGGAGAGTCCCGAGAGCTGTTCCTGCCGACTTTGGCCACCTCTGTTGGTCACAGAAGAAACGTTGCTGTCATCGTACGGATTTTCTGATATCGCCGTCGACCTGTTTGCAAACAATTGGTTTCTATTGACCTCGGCTAATCCTTCCTCTCGCTGTTTCTTTAAGGATTGTGTTTTCAGCTTGTACTCGAGAAGCTCGTTTTTCAGGCTCGCAAGTCTGTTTTCATTTTTCAGTTTCTGGGACTCGTTCAGATTCAGCGTCTGCTTGACGATGTAGTCCTCGTAGTCCTGGAGAGTTCTCGAAAGGTTGGTGATTGTGGTGGTGATCTGGCCTATCAGCGAGAGCTGCGCTGAGGTGGGGTCTTTTTCAAACTGCTCAAGATCTTTTCGCAGTTGCTGCGTTTGCTTGATGGCATTATTATACAGGAGAGACTAAGTTAGCAGTGAACTGGAAGACACTTACCATGTGTATGGTTTTAGAATTTCGCGACCATCGAAAAAATATAGAATTTATTTATTTCTGTGACCAGCCGTAGCTGACGTCTACTTACAAAACCCGCCCTGAACTGGTCGCGGACGTGGCACAAGCGATTGTGGATGGTAGACAGAGCGCAGTAAACCAGGAGGAAGCAAAAAAAGTTAGCAATAATGAGTTACGAGCGGACCTAGTTGTTCCTCCTTGCTTCTTGTCTCACCAGTTTGAACAGCCGGTAGCTCAACTGTTCCAGCTCACTTGCCGTAGTAGGTCGCAACCAACCTTCCTCACTATATGCTCCTCTCTTCACCTCTATCGCTCTTATGAGAAGCTCTGTGTCATTTGGTTATGTGCCCGTGCCCTCAGAAAAGCAGCACCAATAATCAGAAAAAATAAAAGACTTGGAAATATAGGTGTCAATTGATTAAGTGTTTGTTACAAAACAATAATCTAGCTCTGTTTTATCACCCGATCTCACAACAAGGACTCGTATTTAATCATAGATCAATTAGTCAAATCCACAATGTCTGACCTTTGGTAAGTACTGCAATTCGCAAGCAAGTCCTGAAAACAGTACAAACGGAAACGAGATCTGTAAAGTGGCTATTCGCTTGCTGATAAAAACGCCTAGCACCTGCTAACATTTAGTCCTGTGTACGCTCCATTCTTTGGATCCATCGGCTGCGCTGCTGCTATCATCTTCACCTGTTTCGGTGCCTCCTACGGTACTGCCAAATCCGGTGTTGGTATCTGTGCCACCTGTGTTTTGAGACCAGACCTTTTGATCAAAAATACGGTCCCAGTCATTATGGCGGGTATCATTGCCATTTACGGACTGGTGGTGTCGGTCTTGATTTCCTCGTCATTGAAACAACAACAGGCCCTTTACACTGGTTTCATCCAACTGGGTGCTGGTCTCTCTGTCGGCCTCTCTGGTTTGGCCGCTGGCTTTGCCATTGGTATTGTTGGTGACGCTGGTGTCAGAGGTAACGCTCAACAACCAAGATTGTTTGTGGGTATGATCCTGATTTTGATTTTCGCCGAAGTCTTGGGTCTGTACGGTCTGATTGTCGCCCTTCTGCTCAACTCTAGGGCTACTCAGGATGTCGTTTGTTAAGCCCTTCTTCTCCCCGTGTCATCTCAAAATTCCACATAAAATAGGGAATAAATAAATCTAGGTGCTACTAAGCAATCTATAAACCGGAGTCTTTCTCCAGCCACTTAGAAAGATCGTCTGGAATTTCGTCCCAACGTATATCTATCCGAGTTTTTCTATCGTGCTCACAAACCAGACAGTCTTGCTTGATCTCCCCTGTTGTGCGATCAATCAAATTCTCGTTAGTGACAACTTGACAATCGCACAGATCTTCGTCTTCGATCTCACTTCTGACCTCGTTTTCCGCCTTGACCTGGTCGAACAACGGTCTGTAAATTTCAGGGATATTTTTCGGCTCGTAGTCTTTGACGAACTTGGCCCGCCATAAAGCAGTCCAATGAAGTTTGGCATTTCGAGGAAGGTTTCTTGTACGTCCCAAATTCGGATAGTAAATTCTTCGCCATTTCCCGTTCTTGTTCTCAATAAAATACCCGATGGGCAGGACTTCCACCATCCACCAAAAAAGACACTTTTTGACGGTATCTGTTCCTCGCCCGTCAAATCTGGAAACCTGGTGCGAAGGAACCTGCATCACATTCTTAACTGGCTGGTGGAAAAGATCCTCACTTTGACCAGTAACTGCCATGTTGGAGCTCAGTGAGTTTGTGTATGAAGCAACTGAATGCTGCATTGTGATGCCTCCTGACTCATCATGGAGTTTTGAGCTATGTCTAATCAATTGTAGACAATCGTGGTTGCACGACAATAAACTATCCAAGCTAGTGAATTTGGTTGCAAACTCATATACAGCATTTCTCTTGAATAACACGCCCATTTCGATTGCAGATGACAAAATCCACCGAAACGACAGGTTTGATATGGAATGGCCGTCAATATCGTTGGCCCATCCACCACCCACATCGCTATGGTCGCCTGGAAACCACAGTTCGACCAGGTCGTTTGATGTGGGGACTGGACGATTGGCATAAGCGTGGGTCCTATTAACGTAGTCTGGCTCTAGATGCAGTAAGTGCTCGAGCTCACGGGCCGAATCGGAGTCAATGCTGGAATCCTGGTCGTCCTGGTCAATGCATTGAAGGTTGAACAATGACGGCAGGTAGGAATGAGGAATGAAGAGGTTCTGCTTGAACTTTGCTCTTCGCTCGTCTATGCTTACCGCGTGTCTTATATGCTCAACATGGTGCGAAATAGAGGTGAACGGGAACAACCTGTCTAGAAAGATCCCGCACGAGTTGACGGAATCCCACAGTCCCATAAATTTGATGATCACCTTCTCCCGACAAAACGTCTTCTTGAAAACACTGGCGCTAGAACTAGTCCATTCTCGACCGATCGGTTGGCCATGCTGCTCCCATTTTTTGTAGATTTCCCAGGCAGTGCTAACCATCACTTCCAACCCCTGGTTCAGCAGCCCAATGCGCTCGATCATCCCAGCCAGTATCCTGGCAATGAAAGACCCGCGACTGAACCCAAACAGGTAGATCTGGTCGCCGTCCACATAGTACCTCATCAGATACGTGTATGCCTCGATCACGTGATAATCGACGGTGAAGGCCACCAACTCGTCAAGGTCGGACTTTACGTTCTCAACGGAGGAGGAGAACCAGCCGCCGTCGTGGAATTCCCCGAACCCCGTCCGGATGTCGTTACCGATCCCTGCTAAGAGTCAGAACTTCCACAGGACACACTTACGCTGGTAATAGCACATTTGTTGGTGAGATCCCTTTTCTAGCATCTTGTACAGTTTCAGAATGTTGGTTTCGACGCGGGTGCTGAAATTATTCGCTGTGCCGTCAAAACATAGGATCAGGTTCTTGGACTTGGTGCCATTCGACCGGTCCAGATTGCACCCATCCATAGACATGTCTTCTTCTTCAAGTGAAAGAAACAAAAGCCAGTTTTTTTTTAGCGCATGGGAGATATACATCCCAGATCCCCTTTTGTGGGAAGAAAACACATCTATAAACTAACGTCTATTGTTATTTGTCACTCATCCAGATCCAGCGTGACATATGGTTGCGGCTTGCGGCCGACTAATGCAAACATTTTATGGCGCACTTTGGATGGCAGGTTCGCCATCCATGCAAACACTTTGTCATCTTTAGCCGAGACAAATGGGTCGCCATGTTCTAGCCGGTGAAGGTAGAGCTCAAATTTGATCAAGTCCTTGCGACATATGATGCCCGCCATCCTGCCGCCATCCTCGACGATGACGAGCTTCGGGCCCAGTTTCATGAAGATGTTTACCAGCGTGTTGAAGGAGCTGTTGATGTTGACCCGATAATATTGGGTGTCTACAAAGCGCCCGAACGAGAGGACGTCTTGCTGGTCTTGCGGAGGTGTTGACGAGAAATCCACTGGCGTGTCCAGTGGTATTTCCAAATGACGCAACTGTTTGTGGTAATGCAGCCCTGCCAGCAGCTGCGACCGTTTGATAATGCCTGTCACCACTGACTCGTTGTCAGTAACGACCGGGTAGCTTTGGAAACTCGTTTCTGCAAGAAGATGCTCAACATCACGGTACGTATATCCAGAAACAGGAATCACAACTACCTGGTCGGTCATACAGTCTGAAATGCTGTGCGACCCAAAATCGTGCTCTTCCTTTGGGTCCAAAAACGGCATGCCGTTGAACTTGATCATCTGGTCTGCGATGCCTCCACAACCAATCCCCCAGCGGTCATTGATGATTTTGGTCACGCCAACAACAATCATTGTGGGCACAATGTACTTGATTGCACCGGTGAGCTCGAACATTATGACGACCACTGCGAGCGTCAGGTGTGTAATCCCGCTCAGCGCGGCTGCTGCGCCGAGAAATGCGTATGTGCCGGAGATAATACACTTGCCCTGCTCGGCGTTCGCACACGGATTGAACATTTCCACAAGCAAGCCTATGGCCCGTCCAAAAGTGGCACCTGCCGCCATGGACGGAACAAATATGCCACATGGAACCTTGCATCCGTACGAGACTACCACCAACACCACACGCAAAACAGTAGCATAGAGCAGACTGGCAAAATACGATAGCTTGGAGCTCAAATGCGGGTCCATTTTGCAAAGAGAGTGGTCAAACTCTCCGCCGCATTCGTGGAATAGAATTTGCATTCCCTCGGTCATTTCCAGTCGCAGAAACTCGTTGAAATAGCCAATGGCCGATGTCAGCAAACACAGGATCATGACCTCTCTTATAGCGTAATTGGAGAGATACTGCTGTCTGAAGGCCACCCATTTTATATTAAATTTTGCAACCAGAATTCCGTAGACACCTCCAAATATACCAAGGACGACAAATAACGGAATCTCAAAATATCTCCAATCTGAGTCATACCTCACTTCAAACAGCACGATCTGGCCCGTACGGAACGGGTTCATTGCCGAAAGCGTTCCAGTCGCGACCAATGCACAGTAGTAACTTTTCCAGAGCGTGGACAGTTTGAAGTTGGAGCTGATTTCCTCTATGGAAAATAGAACTCCACCGATTGGCGACGCAAACGCCACGGCAACGCCAGCTGCCGAACCAGCAGTCAGGAACTGCGATAGCGAGACGTACGATCGGCTGAACCGCTTGAATAGTTTGGGGATCACGTGACCCACGCACGCAGCATAATGAACACTAGGGCCCTCTTTACCCACGCTCAAGCCAGACGCAATCACCAGTGGAAGAGCGAACGATTTGATGATGAGCGTCTGCCATCCAAGGAACCCGTCCATGGCAAATCCAGAAACAATGCATTTGACCTCGGAGATCCCTGATCCAGCTGCTGTAGGCGCGAAAACCTTGCAGAGAAGAGCTGCGATACTCCCGAACATGACAGATATAAAAATGAATATGAGGTACTGGAGAAACGAGTTGCTGGACCACGGCTGCCACAGGGAACACTTCCCTTCCTCGCTCCAGCAGCAGAATTCCTTGTTGAGATAGAGGTTAGACCGGCAATATCCCGTTTTGAAGTTTCCAAGCCATTCTGTGACGATGTTGATGGCCGCTGCTATGAGGCCGATACACACACCCATGAGAGTGAGGGCAAGCCAATTCTGTATCGAGGTGACGAACTTTGTCCTAATAGTGTTCCATCTGCGGGTGGAAGAGTTCTCGCCGCGCGTTGTGGGGCGCATGGCATCGTAGTACTTCTTGTTTTCCACGAGCGCTTCCTGGACCCAGTCAACGGTATGGAACTCCTTGAAGCTCTTTATTGGCTTCTGGGACCTGGCAGATTCCTCAAAAGTACTTCGCCAGGACGACGAATCTGCGGAAAACGACAGACGATCCATTACCAAAAGCTTAGAGAGACATAAGTTAAGTGAGAAAAAATTAGTTTAATAGTGGAGGAGAATATTCTATTACTAGAGATCCAACTGGATGCTAATTTTCTGCGTTTGTTTGTGACTTTATACATTTGTGTCCCTCTAATCAGCCAACAACCAAAGTGGACTCGTCGGAGAATTCGTATTCTGGAATTTCAAGGTTCAGTGGAGCAGGACCCTTTCTGATTCTGCCGGAAATGTCGTAGTGAGAACCGTGACATGGGCAGAACCATCCGCCAAAGTCACCGGACTCTCCAATAGGAACGCAACCCAAATGGGTGCAGATACCGAGCATGATCAGCCACTCTGGGTTCTTCACTCTGTCCGAATCCTTCTGTGGGTCTCTCAGAGAAGAGATGTCCACCTCGTTGGCCTCGGCAATCTCTGCCTGCGTTCTGTGTCTGATGAAAACAGGCTTACCCTGCCATTTGACAACGACGTTCTTTCCCTCAGGAATGGCGTTCAGCTTGACCTCAACCTTGGCCATGGCCAGCACATCGGCAGAAGCCGACATGGTGGTCAAGAAAGCCTCGACGGTCGACTTGGCGGCTGCAGCTGAGACCAATCCGTACGAGCCCACCATGAAGTAAGTGTAAACTCTCGATTTGTCATTGGTTCCTTTGGATTTGTTGAGGTAGTGGGAGAAGTCTGGAGAATCGTAGGTAGACTTAAGAGCGGCAGTAGTAGAAGACAAAGTTCTAGCCTGGGAGGCCAATCCCATATTGGCTCTAAGGCCTCTAACAAAAGATCTCG